TTTGTCCTCCTGTCGTCTTCTTTTTGTGGACCTCAGGTGGGTTTTCGAGGAAAAAATGGGGGGTAAGTTTTCATTCCCGGGGTTGTCGGCGCCCCCCCCCCCCCCCCTATTACAGACACTTAGCAACGTAGGCTATCATTACAGGCACCCCCCCTTACAAACCCCTCCCCGCTTAGAGACCCCTCCCCCCTTACAGACGCCCCTTGCAGACCTTCTCCCCTTACAGACACCCCTCTCATTACAGACCTTCACAATCAATAATAAGAGATGTTAAATTTTTTCGAGTTTTTTTTTGGAAAACTGATTCAGCTATAACTTTGAAAAATAATGAATATCATTATTTGTGACTTGATTAATATATATGATAGTGTGTAAGGTTTGATGTAGATATCATAGGCATGTAAAACACACTTATTTGTCAATCAATTCAATGATTAGAATAATAAGAATGATAAATTAAGAAAAACGAATTAAAAGAAAACAAAAAAAATGATGAGCGAATAGCAACAATGCAAATAAAAAATAGGGCGCCCATAGAAAAAAGTTTAAAAAACATTCTGTTTGAAATTAGAGAGATTCTTACTCTTGCGATTGGTTTTCCTGCAAAACAACTATAGTCTAACACTGAAGGTGTTTGTACTGTCCATCGAAAAAGGGGCACATATTCGGGTCAAATGAAAGCTTTCATCGCCAAACTAACAAGGTTAAAATATTAGCTGCTAATGGCTTGCCTAAAGGGAGATATTTAACTTTTAAATTTAGGCATAATAATGAATGAGGAAAGGCTTTCTCTAATATTATATGGACAAAACATAGTGTTGTTCGGGGCGATTAGGGAGTTGTAGGGACCCTCTTTCATATGGCCCGAACAACACCATGTTCTGTCCTTATAATAGTAGAGTGATCTTTTGTTGTAGCTCACGAAAACAGCTTTTTCTATCAACCACAAGAAAAATTCACCCCGCTATTACAAGGACAAAATATAGTCTTGTTCGGGCCACATGACAAAGGGACCCTACAAACCCTATAATCGGCCCGAACAACACTATGTTTTGTCCATATAATAGTAGAGAAAGCCTTTCCTCATTCATTATTATACCTAAATTTAAAAGTTAAATATCTCCCTCTAGGCAAGCCATTAGCAGCTAATATTTTAACCTTGTTAGTTTGGCGGTGAGAGCTTTCATTTGACCCGAATATGTGCCACTTTTTCGATGGACAGTACAAACACCTCCATTGTTAGTATTCTTTATATGCTTTTTCAATTTCAATTAGTTTTTGTTTAGACATTAGAATATTTTAAAAGACTTTTGAAATCTTTTAAACTATCGTTTTTTTAGTTTTATTTATTGAATTAAATATTAAAGTTTACAAAAATAATTCTTAAACTTCTAAGAACGAAATCTGAGCAAATCTTCATTACATAAGAAAGTCTAATGAAGCTGTTCACTGGAAATAAGAAGTTGCACGACCATAGAATAATACTATAAAAAAATGTACTCTCATATTTTTGACCAATTCTTTTTCATTGAAAGACGTTTTTATTAGTATGTTATAATATGAATTAAAATAGCGAAATAGCAAATTTAATCAAAAAATATTATGGATGCCTGTACAAACTACGAACACCTATCTTTAGAGTCCATCAGGGTTGCTCTCGGATTTGGATCCGAAAATTGTGGACCGGATGGGCTCTATTCGTCTGAGAAGTGTGTAGGGTGTGCTAGTCATCGATTACAAAAAATCGGCAAAAGGTATTTCGTATTGCCGAGGCGGCTACCTAATTCCGATCATTAAATTCCATTAACTAATATAAAAGTACGCTCCAACCGAGTCCGAAAGTTTTGGGCACTTTTAACAGTTGGAGATACTCACGGATACCCATTATTACTATTGGTTTTAATTATAAAAGATAAAGATACTTAGGTTAATATTAAATTATAAAAAATTTTGTATAAGTAAAAATCAGAACAATCGTGAGTGTCCGCGCCCATGAAAAACGATATACTCCGGTTGAAAACAAAAAGCATAACACAGAATAACTATCCGTATGTGTCCGCAGTTTTTACAGATATTCAAATTTTATTTTCGAAATACTTAATAAAACTTACCGCTTGCGTTGTTAAATCACCAGTCAAAATCGTTACTGTTGAATGGCCAATATTAACACTAGTTTTATTTGGTAATGCCGTTGCAGTTATAGTAGCACTTTGAGCTTGTTTAACTTCATTGTCCAAACTTGCTATCCAAGCTTTAGGTATTGGAATGTGGATATTACGAGTTTCAATAGTTTTTTCAAGAAAACATTTTAATTTCACAATAGCAAGAAGTCGTTCTAATTCTTGACTAACAAGTACTTCGAATCCCGGTTCATCAATTTCAAATGAAATTTCACGTATTTTTGTTAATGCTTCAAGACTATCTTCGATTTTTGAATGCATATCCGGTGGTGCAATAAATTCAGAATGACGACGTAAACGATTTAAACTTATGTCACATCCATCTGATTTATATTGTTTTTCAAGTTTAACCAAATCAGCTTTGGCAACATGTGTTAAATATTTGAGCTAAAATGAAAAAATAATCTGTACTAGAAATCTTTTGTGTTAGAATAAAAGTTATAGAATTGATCAAAAACTTTTTTTAATGTTCTGAATTGTCTGTAGGAATTAAAATAAAATCTATGAAAGATTTGGGTATGAAAATATCGAGAACGAATTCGGAGGTCTTCCGACTCGAAATACTATGTCCAAGTTTTATTAATGTTCACAGCTGTTATATTGGATAAGATGACTATACCGCATCTTTGCGAACAGTTTCGGATTAATCTACTTATTTCCGAAGTGCAAAATCATTGAAGATCGTATTCGATCGCCGAATTCAGCCAGAATCACCTGTATCTCATTGACCTGAATCTCTAGTCACGTAGTTCTGCAGATAAAAGTACTTCTCTTCATTTAGGCACAAAACAACCTAAACGATTTGGGTACGTGTCTAATCTCAATTATTGTCTTCTGATGCTATTTTAGGTTGGCCGTCATAATGTCGAAAGGAAAAATGTGGAAAAGAGAAATGTCGAAAGAAGGAAGAGGAAAAATGTCGAAAAAATAATATTGACATAAAACATTGTCGGTTAATATTTTAGAGAATTGTAAATAATATAGTGCATGTTTTATTGCATAAAACTAAGTTAAAATCTTAACAGTGAGAAAAATATTAAAAAAAATGAAAATGGTATTTTTTCACGAACTTCAAGTTGTTCTTTTTCTCGAAGATGATTATGATTGCCAACAGTTTTCATCAATCGATTATTTGAATCAGTATGCACTTTAGCTGCACAACCATTAATAGTGCATATCCAATATTTAGTAGTTGTTGTTGCTTTATTCAATTTAAAAGTTTAATCATCGACAACTAGTAGAGGTTTTCATTTATTTGAATTTATAAATGAAATAGCAGGAGATTTTGCTTGAATTTCACTAGTTAAAGTTACGAAAGCTTCAGCCATGACAGTACAATTTTAGTTATATAATAATTCTTTGTTCAACTCTTTCATTTTACTTGTATTAATAGTTAGTCATCCCTATCAATACAGGCTAAAATTCTACACTAGTAAAATTATAAGAAAAAACAATGAACTAAATGGGATTAGAATCGCCATATACTGGAGACATCATTATTATTTATTTTTCACTTTCGATATTTTTTCTTTTGATGTTTTTTCTTCGCTTTTTCTTTTTTCGACATTTTTTCAGCACACCCTATTTTACACTTTTTCGAGGAGAAGATATCTTATGATTTCGTATTCCAAAAGTACTGAGATTAAGTGTTAGTTCTATTGGACATTTTGAAAAGTGAATTATAAATAATATCTTCGTAATTCTAACCTGTTTTTCTGATAGAGTAATTTTAAATGGTTGTGGATCATGTTTAGTTGTAAGTTGTTGAAATTTTTCATGAAATTCTTTAACTAAGTCTATTAAACCAAACAGATAAATTGTATTTGATTCTTTATATAAACAAATATTTTTTTTATAATCATTTCGTTGACAAATTGTATTTTCTAAACTTATCCAATCTTTTGTAAATTTTGACGATGATGATTGTTGATTATAATTTATAATTGCTAATCTAAATTGATTTTGAATTAAATCTTCCATTTTTTGTTCATCAACACCAAATAGTCGATTTGTTATATTAAAATAATAAACATTAACTGTTGTTGAAGATATTTGTTGACATGAACAAATTAGATTAGCAAGTTTAAAATGATATTGAATAACTTGTATAGCTTCTTCAATTTTTGTCCAATTACTATCTAAAATTGATTAATTAAATTCTTATTTTGTTTTAAAACAATCCTAAATATTTTCTTACTAGTTTTTTCATTAAATATCTTTGTTTGTAATGATAAAAATAAATTAAATAAATCTTTAGTAGCATTCTCTGCATCATTCATTTGACCAGTTAATTTAATAAAAATACAATTCGTAACTCCTTTTGTTTTTTCATTATTATTATTGTTAGTTCGTTCAAATGTTACTTGAACATTATATGTTTTTTGAAGATATTGTTGTAGACGATCTTGAAATGTATCTATTGAAAACATGCTTATTTGTTCTGGAATAGTAATAGCATACATAGAAGTCGAAATAGTTAATGATGTAGCAGTACTAGGAGATCTATAAATGGAATTAATATGAGTTTATATATTAAATTGAATTCATAAGAAAACATACCTCTCAATGATTTTTGGTTTTGTAGGCGGAGGTGTTGATGAACTAGAAAATATGAATAGAGACAAGTGTTAATGGAGTTTGATATGAAAATAAAACAACTATTTCTATTGATAAAACTAATAGATTGGTTTCGTTTTCTTTATATAGAAGAGAAATCTTTGTTTTAACTAATATACATTTTACTTGCGGAATACATGTAGATGGAATTATTATACACTTAAATAAGAATACGATTTATCAAAGAATTTTAGTTTTAAATTACACGGAAAAATTCTTCAGAGGTTGTATTTTATTATGTATGTAGGTGTCGATCAGATTACTACAAGATTATTAAAAAATGTGGATTTCTATGTTAAATTTTTTTCAATAGGATATTAATTACTTTTGCTATTCAGAAACAATTAGTATCTCTGAACAAGAACAGTCTAGAAACTGAAAGATTTTTTAGTTGTAACAATTTCATCAACACTTCTATTAAAATAGGATGTCAAGAATACGGTTTCTTAAATCGAGATCTTTGATGGAATGATAATTCAGTAGTTTTGTACGTTACTTACTTATAATTCGATGGAGTATTTATGTTAATATGTGATTGTTCAAATTGATGACGTTGATTTTTTTTAGGAAAAAGCTTATTCACAAATCCCGGCATTTCATGTACTTTTGTTGCTATTGTATAATCATTATCTATAATACGAGTAAATGCCACAGTAGCTGAATTAGCTCGAAGAATTTCGATATTTTTTTGTTCTAATTTATAGAAAGTTCGATATGCAAAATTTCGCATGAAAGCATTTGTTTTATCTTCAAGAGTAACATTATTTTTCGTGCCATGAATATTTTGCGGAAATGAACCACTGTATCTTACTTCATCTTCATGAATATCAATATTACCACCAAGTTCATTATCTAAATTAGAAACAGATTAGTTCAAATAGACAAGAGTAATTCAAAGTTAATTACGAATAAATTCTTTGTATTCAAGTTTAAATTTTGGATGACTAACAATCAAAACCCAATCAGGACGAAGTTTAATCGTCGTTTGACATAATCTGTCATCAAATCCACCAGAAGCAATCGAACATGTATTAATATTAGATTGTACTGCTTTTATTGAACAACTACTTTCTGTATCATTATGCTCATCAGCATTATCAATTATTGGATTAATTGTTACTTGATATTTAATTTGTATTTGATCGACTGTTGATATCCATTGATTAAAAGCTTAAATAAAAGAAATTCAATAAATTTCTACAAACAATTTTGAGATGAAGATGATTTGTATTTAGTTTCATTTTCGATGATTCGACATTAAACGAATTGTTCACATATTTTATCATCAGAAGAAAAGTGTCGAAAAAAAAATGACAGGTGATTGGCACTGATTAGCATTCAACGATTTGAAGCAATCGCATCATACAAAACAAAACAAAAACAGATGTAACCGACAATCATTCATTTTGAATTAATCAGAATTGAACTATGCTGCTCGGAATTTAAGCTACAGTAGTTTTAGAAACTCTCTCGGAATATCTCAGATATATGTCGATAGACTCTTCAAAGCGTGAAAAACTAAACTCTGAAATTTCCTTCATCTATGAGACCTGAAAAAAATCATCAAAAATTGAGAAACGATATATTCATAGACATGAGAACAATTTTCTGGATGTTTTCCACTATAGCTTCGAATTCCTTGTTTAGTTTCACCCATTGGAATTTTTCACGAGACTCCTTTACTTTTTGCCAAACATTATAATTATTTTAACAATAGATTCTCATGTTAATTCTAAGAAAAGTCGTCCTTTCAAGGTTATATTAATAGATAGAATATAAAGTAGCAAACAAAAGTTTCGAATAGCTGTGTTTTTAAGTTTTCTTCTTGGTGTTCTGAAAACGCTTTTGTGTAACTTAAAGAATTCTCTATCAGGAAAGGTAGACCGAAAAACCAAGGTCTTCAAAATCAGCTTTCTAGCTTCCATTCATACTCATTGTGAAAAGCTTTATTTGATAGATCAAATGATATTGAGCAATATGAAACATCTCCGATCTCTGCATTCAATTTACAGAAAGTCTCAAAGAATCACAACATGATAAGGATGAAAACTAGAAAGCTGGTGCATTTTCTGCAGATCCTCATTAAAGGATTTTTTTTGGACTATTGCCATCGAGAAGAAAGCTTATGCCCGCCGAGATCAAAGTTTTTTGCCGCAATTATGTAAGAAATAATCAATCAATATTTCTCATCGCCTCTGAAACTCGTTACATATTATTAAGTCGGCTGACTGTACGAAGTGTCGGAGCCGACTTATTGCTTTTCACTAGCTTAGTTGCCATGGAAAATTCTTCTTCTTCTTCATCCGCTCGACGCATGAGTCATGATTCGAGTCAGCCACTCGTTCTCAGTATCTAAACATCATTTTCAGTCGAAAAAAAGCTTGACGAAATCGTGAGAACGTGACGAGTGCACATCTGAAATCCGTTTTTCAAAATTCGGCACCATTCGGGAGATATAAGATATGAGGAAAACAATAATTAACAGCTGATAGTTTCCTTTTATGGCAGTGCATGATTCAATCTTAGATCACCATTCATATGTAAGATGTCAAATGCATATATATTTTAATTATCGTCTTACATGGTTTAAATTCGTCCATGAAAGAGTCTCAAACGTTTAGAAAAATCTCTTCATGGTNAATACAACAACGAAGCAGATGAATAATATGAGTATTGGTGACGTCATTGATACAACAATCGTTCATCCATATCAAAATAATTTTTATTTAAATTCACATAATGCTTTTCAAGGTGTTAATCACTCATCAGTTCTCAAACTCCAACTGGTACCAAATTGGAGGGCCTTGAATTAACCAAATACTGGTCGATTTTTAAGATTCTCATGTACATCAAGAATCTTGTAATCTGCATCATTCAGAGTTGGATTTCGTAATGGTTGACTACGTCCACCAACGGTAGTTGCCGATGAGCTACAAAAAAAGATTACAATATAATTTGAATTTAAAGTTTTTTTTTATTAATCTTACCGTTCATCATCATAAAACAAATCTCGTGCTTTCAATGCTGCTATGTCAGGCTGGTGTACAATCGATGGAATAGCTTCAGAAGCTGATGATCGAGGATCCGTAAAACATAAATGGTATGTTAGCAATTGTAATTCATCAGCAGTGAAGCCAATTTCATCCAAAAGTACATGATAAAATGATGAGTGATTAACACCTTGAAAAGCATTATGTGAATTTAAATAAAAATTATTTTGATATGGATGAACGATTGTTGTATCAATGACGTCACCAATACTCATATTATTCATCTGCTTCGTTGTTGTATTATGATTAAAAAAACGTGTATTATGACGTTTTTTTACAACAACAAAAGTTAATAGCGGATGATTGGATTTATCACCATAAATACCTAAAAGATAATTTATCATCAAAAATTGAAATTAAAATAATTAACTTACGATCAAAAGCCTGACGAATTGCAGGAATTTCATGAGTAATAACTTTTCCAAATTGACCATCGTCTACTCCTAAAAAATACTTGATCAATTATAGCAAGTCATTTAAAAAAAAGCTTGAATAATTTACCATCACGATAGAAAACAATTTTATTTGGTAAAACTTTATTTGCTTGTCGATTATAATCTAATAATTGTTCGACCATATCAGTCATTCCGACGATAGTTTCAATTGAACATTTGCCTTCTTTTGGATACTGTTGACAAACACGTACAGCTGTTGTTGAACGTAATGAATCGCCTGAACCAACAACAGCTAAAACAAAACAAAAGGCTATGAGCACCATTCCTACAGGATGAACATGTGACACACGACATAACTACTGTTGCTAATCACTGGAATATTGTTTTATTCTATCAATTTTAGCAAACATGTCTTCATCGTTCTTTCACTAAATTCTTCAAAAATGCAGCATTACTTTTATGCTTACAAATCTTTTAGAGCTGTTAGAATATTTTGGTCCTTTTGGGTTTGAGTGAAGGAAGCATGCCTATCCACACATACAACCCATACCCCAAAACAGTCAACGGTAAAAATTAAAACAGAACAAATTTAATTTGTCATGGACCTCTCTTTTTAATAATATATCAACGATGTCTGTCACAGTCTGTGACCTTGCTAGGAGTGTCTGTCGATCCGACAATAAAATTTTCAAATCCGAATCGGATAGTAGCCCTCAAATATACGAAATGTTTTTTTCCTTTTTTTTTAGTATTCAGTAGCTAGAGCATCCTACACACTTCTTCGACGACTAGAAACCATCAGATACAACGTTTTCAGACCCGGACTCGATCAAGTCGATGGATTCCAGTCATGATCTGTGGGGAGATACAAATTTCTACCCTATGTACTTCAACATTTCTTTTAGATCATGTTTCACGAAATACTAATTTTTTTTTCAATAATCAAACAAATGATTTACCTGCAATAGATGGGTGTTGACGAGTAACATTGGTCGGATGAATGACGTCAGCACCGAAGAACATGAGTGAATCTATTTTGGATTTTTTATACTTCAATGCTTCATCCAAATTAACTTTTGTATTGATTCCAGGATTTTTAAAGTTAATTTTTCGAATTAAATTTTCACAATAACTTGTTAACGAACGATTATTTGTAATCTTTGAAAGCATAACACATTGTGTCATGACACCTAAATATATCCTTATTCATAAATTTACTTCAAATCGATAACAATAACTTACCATATTTGATTGTTCCACAATCTTTGATATAAGCTTTAAGCTGTGTAAGTTCATCTTCAGATCTTCCATCCATAATACAAATAACAAATTGACATTTTCTCTCACTCATCGTACGAAAATATGCAGTAATTTGATCAACAGTAGGGTGTACATTATGTTTCTCATGTTTTACATTGACATGATAATTTTTCATCATCTAAAATAATTCAATCAATTGTTTCATTTTGTATATAACTCAACGAAAGAGACTTACATTTAATAAAGTGTTTAGAAACTCATTCATTGAACTTGCCTCTCGTGTAGCATCAGTACCAAAATATGTTACAGCTAAAGCTGAAATTGGTTTTGGTGTAAATAAATGTCCATCGAGAGGAATACGGCCAATTCGAACGTTCGCTTGACAATTAGGACCTGTTTGAATTTGTGGTTGAGTTAATATTCGAGCATTTAATTTCAACATTTGTCCATCATCAATCTGGAACCCAACTTCACGACAAAGACGATTTGAAGGTGAATTATAATTACACTTTCCTAAAACATTCATAATAGCATGGTAACGATCATTAGGCTTAGGAATATGTTTTCGTGGTTGCTGTGCTTCTTGTGCTTTGGATAACTAAAAATAAAAAAAAATAAAAATAAAAAAATACTTGAGAATACAAACTGTTTTTCTAGATAAAAGCTAAATACAATTTAGCGGGATGATAACGTAACATATGACATTATTCGTTATCAGTATTATTACAGTTTAGGCATGGGTGTGGATGTGTTTGAGTGTTGAGTGTAGGTGTGTACTGATGGAGGGGGAGGGGGGATATTGGTGTAAGTTGATGTGTATGTGTATGGGTATGCATAGGAGTGAGTGTTGGTTTGGGTGTGCGAACAAAAAAGACTTACACCTACATCTCACAAAAATGGAATTAAGATTTATAGACCTCTCTTTTTTTCTATTATTTTTTTTTCATGAGATACACCAAAGTTTTTCTCGTCGTGAATATTATTAAAAAAAATGTCATTTTCAACTTTTGTTTTTTTTTTCTCCTTTTTCCGATTCAATGTCCTCAGTTTTTCTATTTTTTCTTCTGTGTTCTTCACCAAATCCTACGTGCGACGGTCAGGAAAAGCTTTTATCATGGATTGTTGATATAAGCTTGAGAATGGGAATTTTTAGTGATTATCGAAACTTACCGGTTTGTCATAGACTTGTCATCCTTTAATTCGACAAACTTCCAAAGGTAAATGGCAAGGTTTGTTGTATTCATTAGGAAGATATACTTGAATGCATGGATAATTTGTTTGATTTAATGTAANCCGCCACGGAATCGTAGATAATTTTAAGAATTTTTTAGGAGCCGCCGCTGTGAAAAAGTAAGTTCAGCCGGTGCGCCGCCGTCACGAACGAAAACTTTTGATAATAGTATAAGGCGTCGCCGCCGTTGACATCGATACATATGCAAAGACGTTTTTTTTTTCTTTTTTTGGTTGTCAAAGCCGCCGCCGGTGCAGAAAAACATAAAGTCTAGCAGCAGCCGCCGCTTTGGAAGAAAAAATGATGCCGCCGCAGCCGGTGTACAAATACATAAAGTCTAGGAGGCGCCGCCGCTATGCAAAAAAAAAATTGACCGTTAAAGGCGCCGCGGCTGTTTGGCCCTTCGGCTTACACCTCTAATGATACTTCAACATTCCTTTTTAAATCTTGTTTACTATTTTCTTTTCAATTATCAAAGAAATAATTTACCTGCAATTGATGGATGTTGACGAGTAACATTGGTTGGATGAATAACATCAGCGCCGAAAAACATATATGAATCTGTTTGGGATTTTTTATATTTTAATGCTTCATTTAAATTAACTTTAGTATTAATTCCTGAATTTTTATAATTAATTTTCCGAATTAAATTTTCACAATAACCTGTTAATGAACGATTAGCTGCAATCTTTGAAAGTAAGACACATTGTGTCATGACACCTAAATATATCCGTATTCATAAAAGCTTCTTTTTTTTTTTAATCAATATGAATAACTTACCATATTTGATTGTTCCACAGTCTTTTATATAAGCTTTAAGTTGTTTAAGATCATCTTCAGATTTTCCATCCATGATACAAATAACAAATTGACATTTTCTCTCACTCATCGTACTAAAATATCCAGTAATTTGATCATTTGTAGGTGATACATTATGTCCTTCAGATTTTACATCAACATGATAATTGTTCATTACCTAAAATAATTCAAATTACTTCTTTCATTTTGTATATAACTCAACAAAAGAAACTTACATTTAATAAAGTTGTACGAAACTCTTTCAGTAAATTTTCCTTGCGTGCAGCATCAGTACCAAAATATGCTATGGCCAGAGCTGAAATTGGTCTTGGTGTAAATAAATGTCCATCCAAAGGAATACGACCAATACGAACGTTCGCTTCACAATTTTGACCTGTTTGAATTTGTGGTTGAGTTAAAATTTCCGCATTCAATTTCAACATTTGTGTATCTTCAATATGGAAGCCAACTTCACGACAAAGACGATTTGAAGATGAATTATAATCACATTTTTTTAACATATCCATAATAGCAAAATAACGTTCGTGGGGTTTAGGAATATTTTTTCGTGGTTGTTGTGTTTCTTGTGCCTTGGATAGCTAAAAATAAAAATATACTTGATCTAGATAAAAACTAAAATACAATTTAGCAGAATTATAATGTAACGTATGACAGAGATCGATATCAGTTTTACTTTAGATTAGATATACCCAAGATGGTACTGGTCCCAGAATCGCGGGGATCAGGACTAATACTTTTTCATTCGAAGCGATACATTTTATGGTTGTGTAAAGCTTGCGTCGAATATGATACTGTCATGATTCATATTCTCTAAACAGCTATTGAAAAGATGGTCTCAGCGGAAGATGTTCATATTCCATAAAAAATAAGATTAAGATTTATCATTCGACGTCTTCCTATTCGCTATTTATTTTTCACTAAATTCTACATGCGAAGATGAGAAAAGTTTTTTTTTGCTACATGTCTGTTGCTTAGTGTTATAGAATGTGGGAATTTTTAGTTATTATTAAAACTTACTGGTTTATCATAAACTTGCCATGATTTAATTCGACAAACTTCCAAAGGTAAATGACAAGGTTTGTTATATTCATTGGGAATATATACTTGAATGCATGGATAATTTATTTGATTTAATGTAATATTTTTTGCATTTTTATAATATTCAACTAATGTTTCACCGGATTCAATTTTAATTTCAGTTGGTCGCCGTTTATCGAATTGATCAATTTCATAAGCTTGTTTCCAATTTGATTGTCTTGTAATAAGTAAACAATTTTTTAATATTCGATTTAATTTTTTACATTCATTTTCATTTGGTATTCGTTTTGCACCAATTTGTATGTGAATAAAATCTAGTAGAGGAATATCAGGATAAAATGTTGTTAATTTTGTTTGAACATTTAATGTCAAACGATCAGATGCAAGATTAAGTGCTTGAATAAAACCAAATCGTTCTTCAAATCCACCAGCTAATTTCTTAGGTGTTTCATTCAAGAAATAACAAGTATTATTAACAACTGCAATCCGATCTTGAAGTGACTTTTTCAGAAGTGTTTCAAGAATACGTACTGCATCATATGGATAGAACTTTACATTCGGTCGACCTTTGATATAATCCTGAATATCATTTGTTGACCATTGATTAGGTGATGATTTGATATTAAGCCGATTTCGACCATCTTTACTTGTAATAAATTGTGGTGATGTTAACAATGATGTACTATATAAACACTTTTGTTCATCATACCAAACAACAACTTGTGGATCAAATCCACCATTAGAAATAAGTAATTGCATAATTAAAGCACATCGTGCTCGACCTTTAACTTCAAACCATTCACCTGAACGTGAGCCAAGTTCTTCAATAGCAACATCATATTGATACAATGGAAGATTATTGGCAAATTCACAAGAGAAATGATTTGTTAAAAGACTTTCATATCTTCGACCTGATGGATTTGTTCGAACAGGACGACGAGGTAGTGAAGAAAGATTAAGTGTAGCAGAAGGAATTGCAGATGAAACTGCAATTCGTTCTTGACGAATAAAATTTGATTGATTATTTGATGCCATAAGAATTTTATTTTCAATAAAATAAAATGTAGAATGAAATTTATATACGATGATACTTGATTTTTTCCAACAAATGTAATTGCGAAAGATTTTGTATATAATAAACAATAGCAAAAAAAATGACTTGCTGTGTTGTAGTTATTGATTGAAATAAAATTAAATGAGTAGAATAGCATTGGCATGTTCATGTATTTATAAGTATGAAATACTGGGTATTTCACAGTATGAGAAAGAAAATATTTCAGTTATTATCAAAGAATTCCATAATGGAAAAATATTTTATCTTTCTCCCAGTATGAGAAAGAAAAAGTATATTTATGACTCAAGAGAGCTGTCAAAAAGAACAGAATATGACATTCGGGCATTTTAATTGACATCTATGAGGACTATTATTGGTTTAGAAGAGGAGCAATAGAAAATTGAGTTTCAATGCGTCATTTGATTTACGAATTTTCTTTTTTTTTTTCAAATTAAATACAGAAGAAAAACTAGTAACTTAAACTAAAAACTCTATCTTTTTTTTTCTCCTCTAGTTAAAGTACTCTAAAAATTGATGACTTTATTAATGTGATGTATTAGTCCGATTATATTTGAAATGATCTCAAGATGAAATTATTCAAACAGACAATTTTACCCAATTTCTTTATGAAACTTATGCTTTATCAATGACTCATAGTTTATGCTTTACACAAACACACTCCGATAGTCGTGTTGACTAACGACTATCTTCAATTTGATACGTAATAAAACTTGTGCGCATAAAAAGCTTTTCAAGAAATATAGTTTTTTTTTTTTTAATAATGATGAACTTGATGTTGCATCTTTTCTAATTTATATTGATTGAGATGAATTCATTGTTATATATATTTAGTAAAAATCTTCAGGATATAACAAACTATTGAATTTTCTTTTTGTACAATGTTTATATTGACATTTGGGAATAAGAAAATAAGAAAAATTCAATGTTTTCTTAGTCATTCAACCATTTCTGTTGTCATAAAATCGTCAATGAATAGATGGATTTTTCTAATATTATGATTAATGACGATTTTTACTATATATGAGTTAGCTTGATATAATATATAAAATAAAATTTAAGTCAGAGTTATCTCCGTATTAAGTTGATCTTATGAGAAATTAAATTTTTGAATGTTTGAAAGAAACTTTTGGAACAAATAGAATGGATTTTGTTTGGTAAATAATCATTTTTGTGTACTCAAAAAGTGAGTACACTCTAAAATCGGTCAGTGTGTCCGTCCGTCCGTCCGTGTACACAATAACTCTTCACCATTACATCCGATTGAGCTGAAATTTTGTGCACAGAATTGTCTCATCAATATCTCGGTCGAGTTCGAAGATGAGAAGAATCCGTCAAGAAATGGCTGAATTATCGAAAAAATTGTCATTTTTGACCAGACCATCCCTGAGGTAGGGTACAGGGATTTTTAAAAAAAAAAATTTTTTTCTCAGAATTATTCACAACATATATAAATCGACTCAGTTTTTAACGCTGATTCCGAATCTGATATTAGTTTTGAACAAAATTGTAGCTTTCTAACAAAACATCGCCTGAAAAAGGTCTCAAAATGCACAAAAACTGCATCCAGAAAGCAAATTGCCTAGATATCTCTCAGATGATAAAAAACAAAGTGAATATACCTGTTCACTTTTTGAAGTACACATAACACTCTGATTTAAATTCGAGGTTTTCGCATTTATTTCCTATAAAAATAGAATGTACTCTTGTTGTAAATGTAAGTCATTATGGGCTTCGTTAAAAGTACATGTATTACAACTCGTTTCAAACATCATAAAGTAACTATCTTTCTTCAATTTTGCCGTTATTTTTCTCTCTTATCACAAAATTAATATCGACATTGTAAATGTCAAATTATAGTTTTTGTATTTACCTTAAAAGCAGTAAGTTTACTGTTTAATAAATCTCTTTCACTCTTGTTTTAATGTGCATAGACGTACTTTACATCGGCATTTTTGGTTCAAAATGAAGGGATATGTATTTCTTCGACAACAAATTCAAATGACTCACTTTTTTGCATGCTTGAGTAATAAACAAAACAAAAATGAATTTAATGCGAATATTCCATGTTATTATAAACGATTAAAGCAAAATCTATTCATTGTAAATTAGATACTTGTCAATTCTCTACATTCAACAAAAAATGTTTTCTACTTTTTGTCCGTATTCGTATTGAACGATGTTGGAAAGATCTCATGATAGAATTTAATTATCATGAACTTGCTTATTGTGATATGACAGAACAATTAGTTTTAAATAATTGGAGTTGTTTATTGTCATTAAATATATATAGTTTGACATTGTGCATTACGAAAATGACGACCGACTTTAAACTTAATTGAATGAGTATTATACATTTGCAGCTAAAATAGGCAACAATAGATGAAAAACAAAAATCAAATATGTTCAGATCTGCTCTGTCAACAAAAGAAATGATCTAAGTTCTTCTAACAACGGTTTGTTTTTGAAAAGTGAAACTTCATTTTTCAGAGATACTTAAGATTATACGCTTCGTATTATATAAATATGTTCAAAGTGAAGAAAAAAAAGTAAATTATTTTTTTGATTTATTTTACATTGCATTGAACTGATAAGTTTAAAACAAAAACATAAAATAAGATCGATAACAGATATCTGAATTAAAGGAGTAATCAAATTATTAACAAAAGTTTGTGAGTTCTAATGATCAACGGTGAGTTTGATTCGTTTATTTCCAATTTGGACTAATTTAAATTGATTATTATTTTGTACAAACCATACTTTTGTAAAAACAGCACCTACAAAGTATGATGAACCAGCTCTCTTTTCTTCCAACCATTCAGTAAGTAAATTCGAGAACGAACTACTCCTATAGAAGAATCTAGCAGTTAATAGATGTTGTAGTTTTTCGAGACAAATTTTAACTTCATTCAAGTTTTCAATTGATGCTGCCAAATGTTTAACATGTGATGGTGTCATTGAACATATGTCTTGCGCAGTCAACTTCGATCGTCTATTATCATAGTTGCAACATATGTCTAATGAAGTAAGACTACATGTTTGTTGAAGTAAGCTGATAAGATCTGCTATTATATTTGGATTAGCCTGAAAAATTCTCATTCCAGCTAATTTAATTCGAGTGACTGTTGTTAGATCAACAAGTGTTGAAACAAATGTCGTCCAATACGGTATTCGTTGGACGTAGTAATCAAGTTCGAGGTTTGTCACTCGGCGAAACAAGGGACCACTTGAACTTTGCTGCTATAAAAAGAAAAAAGAGAATACGAAAAATTTGAAATTAGATAAAAAGTTTACTTCACTATGGTAAATGAAGTGTATCATAGAGTAATAAATATTCAGTTAACATGTGACGAAAAATTCTGCACTGAAGCATTCATACAACAGAAAATCAAAAACAAATATTTTTGATCAATCTATGAAATTGCACTTGATTTTAAATAGTTGGTGAGACTTGAACGCACAATAGACTATGAGATCATTGAGGTTGTTTTGGAAGAATTTCTGAATATTGAAAGAAACAATTTTGGCAGAAAATCTCGAAATTTTCAAAATGGATTGAGTAACTTTGTTCGTCGGTGCAAATACTCGTCAAAGAGACTTTTTATTAACTATGCCAAGAAAAATATTTAGATGAAACCAACAAGATCATCAATGACTATAAATAGGATATGTAACGTTAGACGTGGCTTACGAGAGAAGTTTCTCAATTGATAAATCAGTTTTGAGCCACAAGTATATGTATCATGCAGGCTCTAATGGGTTATGAATATCTCCGAAAAGAGTTTGGGTCTATAAATTATTGCTGCCAACATATTATATTTTTACTGTAGTTTTTAATACGACGTTGTGGTTCCCTTTAGGAATATCAGAAAAAATGATAATTTTCAAATTTCGACTTGAAACGTTGCATAGAAACGAGACTTGACGTGAAAATAGTTTCTTGTAAAAGAATCAAGTTATTTGATCTGTTTCTTATTTCAAGACAGGAACAGATCAAATAATTTGATACTTTCACGATTAACTATTCTTGCTAAAGCTTATTCTTATGCAATGTTTCAAATTCAAAGTAAAAAATTAATTTTCCTCGTGTTTCTGAGGAGCGATACGACATTATATTAAAAATACAGTATGCCAGCAGTAATACGTTGTGAACTCAAGCTCTATTAAGGCTATTCACAATCCATTAGAATTCAAATGATACTTATACTTTCAGTTCAAAAGCAATTACTTAGTTGGAAGACATCCTTCGTTAGTTTAACGATTATATCCTCTATAAAGACATAGACATATATGTGCAAGTAATACTTAACCATGTAAAATATTGAAATAGTATTCCATGTCGCGATATACGAAAAGAATATAATTACTTATGTGTATATAAACACTCTATGTTCTTCATTCTACAATTGAATCTATGTTTTCACTATTTCTTCGCGTCATAAATATGGAAAATCGTTCAATATACGTAATGAAATATTCTTCGAGATTTGTCACAGAATAATGTACAAGCTTGTATGACGTCAAAAAAGAAGTTTATATGAGAAGCATTAACGTTTCTATATATGTCTTACATTATTACGTTTAACCTAATTAAGAAATATTACAATTTTAGAGAAAAGAATAAGATAATTCGTTTGAACATAAATGCAATCTTCATCGTTCGCTAACGTTAATATGCATTCTAAACTCAAAGTTCCTATTAGAGTCAATTCGGCCAATATCTATCCTATCGACTAAGTATTCATGTACAACTGTCAAATTGCCTTTGTACTTTGATTTGATACATAAACCTTGAGATTTATTAGTTAAGATCACAATGTCAATTAGATAACTACCTGATATGTCATTTCATTCGAATACGACAAACAAAAAAATTTGAGCTACGAGAAAATTATGCAATTGAAAGCCATTTCTACCTGTTTTTGAATGTCATTCAATGTAAATTTTGCAAATTTAAATTCAATTGTATTGACATTATCCATAATTGATTTATCGTTGTTAATTGTAAAATTAAAAGTCGATAACGATATTTTATTAGATTCAGGTTCATAAATCAATGTAGATACACAAAGTGGAATAGAATAGAGTTTAATTACTCGTGGCCATAATTCCGTAGTTTCACATGTGCAAAACCACTTTTTATGCTCAACCCAAAATGATGTTTGAAATAATGCTATAACTGTTTCAACATTAGCTGCAGTATAATTAACATCTCTCCATTCCTGAACGAAAAGTTCAAATTTATTCAAAAATGGTAAATTTGTCTGAATAAATTGTTCCCATCGATTACCATTTAGAAAATGTCCAAAACCAATTAATTTTAGATAAGTCAATGAATTCATCAATGAAAGCAATAATTCAAGATTGTCAATATTCGCACGTAGATTTTCTAATGTTAGTGAAGTTAATTGTTGGAAAGATGTTCGAATAGAATCTAGTGAGATGATTGTATCATCAATATAATTTGAAAAATTTATAATAAACGTTTGTAGATGAGGTGAGCATTGAAGAATGGTGAAAATTTGAGAGAAGTTATCGCAAGAACTAATTTTTAAATATTTAATCATGGATTGAACAGGCCAAATCATTTTTTCTATACGAGTTGAGCGAATGTCAAGATTCAAATGATGAAGATGTGCTTGTGAAATAATAGACGATAGAAGTGTTGCTGTTGTATTTGTACGACGATCATCATATTTTCCAAGTTTAAATGAAAATGAAGTTAATGAAGGAATAAAAAAACGTTTTAAAAGAACTTTCAATTGGCTTTCTTCAATATCAATTAAAGTTAACGAACGAAGATGATTAAATTGTCGAATCCGAAAATACGTTGTAAATAATTCAATTTGATCTGATGTTTCATCTTTAGAAAAAAGTGTTAATGATTTAACTTTTCGAGGACTAATCAAATGACATAACAATTGAAAATCAGACTTTGATATCGATTGAAAATCAAGAACATATCGATCATAACCATCAACAATTGTTTTTAATCTTCGACATGTACAACGTAATGAAAATAATATCGTTAATGCATCTAGACTATCAAATATATGATGCAGAATTTCAACAGGTAATAAAGAAAGCCAAGAAATTATTGTATTTGACATCAGGAAAAATTTCAAAACACAAAACAAGACCTTGAAATAGAATATTTTTTTGATAATTTATAATTGTGTCAATGCATGTTTTTACATTAGTAATGCACCATAGACAGCAAACAGAACTATTATTGTTTTTTGAAGGTTGGAAAATAAAGAACGACAAAACAACAAAGAAAGAAAAATAAAATACACGTACACATGCACATACCTTTTCGTCATAATATTTTGAAAAATACATTCTTGTAGGAAGAAAGATATGACTTTCGATTCAAGAAAAGCCATTTTTATTTTTCACGTTTGCACGATTTAGTCATTTCTCCGAAATATTCTTATTTAAATCAAGTGGATATGTTATGCCGAAGTTAAACTATTTGTCAAAGTTATTCAACATCAAGTAAACAACAATTAACTATCAATTAATTGATGATATCACCAATAAAATCTATAATTATAGTTAATTTTTCATTTTAAAAATGCATACTAAGTTTTAAAAGAATATATAAATAATGGAGACATTATTGAGAAAAATTAATATTCAAGAATTTCCGAGTGTTTTTCTTTTTTCAATATCTTGCAGAATTTTATTGAAATATCAACATTTGTGTGAGCGTCTAATAGAAAAAAAATGAAAATAAGTGCTCAATTATGATTTCTTATACAACATCGAAAAGTAAATATCGAAATTTAGATAGCTCACATAAATTAAAAAATGTGTGACCACAAGTCTATTGTTCTTTTGAGGTTACATCTTATTGTCGATATCTTATCTATCAATCATAATCTCATTAAATTTTCGCATCAAACTGTGGATAGGTGTGAATCTACTCTTCATTCCTACCCACACCTAAACAACAAAGTAATCCAAGATGAAAGTGACGTGCCCTGGTTACAGTGTACCAACTGTTTTTTTTTGCTCAAGTCTAATGGTAATGATTAAAGAAGAGTGCTAGCTAGATATCAATTCAAATTCTTCTTCTCTGTATGACAAGAAAAATATATCGTTTGTGTTGCAGCTATGAACTACAAGTCATTTCTTTCAGTGATGTCTTTCAAATGAACTGTACAACGTTGTATGAGACAGTCCATCCGAAAATCGAGCATTTTCTCACAGGATCATGCTCTTCAAGAACTTGACAAAACCATTTTTATTATCACAAATTGAAAATCATGTTCAAATACCAATAAATCCAAATTTTTCGCACCAAGACTGTCGCCAGCGTTGGAAGGATGAATCATCTTCATCAATCCTACAAATTTTTTCATTTTTACCGAGAGAAACTTTACCGAGATTGGTGACATCTACTCTTATTCTTCTTCAATCGTGACCTATTCATGATAGTCCTCTTTAGCGTTGTGTATCCAATCTATCAATTGCTGTAAAACAGAGCATTGACCAAGGGTTTTCTGTCGCAAAACAAACTTTACATTGTTTTTCATTGGCCAGTTTTTCTTTGTATGTAATTGGTGAATAGTTGTGTATAATATCTGAAACAATAGAGCGAAATTTGCTTGACAAAACTGTATATTCCTAGACTCTTGTTATGAATTTAAAGGTTTAAAAACATATTGAAAAATGAATTTTTCCAAAAGTCTTTCAATGATTTTTTTTCAGAAGGTATTCAAGACTATTTGATACCGAAATTCATTCTGTGCAAAGATATTATTCCGCATGCTGATAGAGCAGATAATGGGCTCTTTCAATGCATATAAAACATATGAAATTGAGGCATACGTAACTCATAAGTGTCACTTTACATCTCGATAGAAAATGTATGATTTTGTGTAGACAACTATTCTTTTTTCGAACTGCAAACATCTACGCTATTCAAAAGCAAGCAAATGATTACAATAGAACAACTGCTTAGATAATTGTGGTCGCTTATGCTTAATCTGAGACAGGATCATATGAAGATAGCACTACGCATAAACTATGAATAGTATTGATAGATATTTAAAGATGCGTCAATCATATAGAGCATATTTCAAGAATGAAATTATATAATATTTCTTGAAAACTGTCTTGAACAAAAAATAAACAGCAGTTCCAGAATGTCTACCAAGCAGGAATCAGAATTTTTCACACTTATGTATTTTTTTGCTTTGTTAGCTGTTATTGAAAGAAATAACGAATCCTTATATAGAATTCTGTGCCATCTTAAGAGTTCTGTTCATTCATTTAACTGAATAGGTCTTGATGATTCAGAAACATAAAAAACTATCTGAATTTTTTGTATTCCATAAGCCGTTTAGAGTTCAAAAAAATGATTCGAGTTTTACCACAAATCAAATTATGACAAAGTATTTGAAATCTGGATCTTGAACATCGGAATTGTGTTGTTGTTTCTTTTAGATTCTTGGTATTTTATCGTAGATGAGGTATATGAAAGATGACTATTGAACATTTTATTGTCAATATAAAATTTTGTTGAAATTGACGTTATTTTGCCCACGTTAATAAGAATTTGATAATTATTCTTTTGAAACTCTGACTCTTACTTTGTATTCCTGAATAAATTCTGATTTTGAGGAAGAGAATTCTTTTTTCAGTAAGTATCTTACTCTGGTCTTTTGATTTTAAGGTATGTATAATGTGTTGTCTCCTGTTGACAACTACAGAAATCTTTCATAATTCTGCTCTGAAACAAAAAGAGGTACTGTATGAAAGGAAAAAGCAGTTTCAGGCACACTCCGAAACTTGAAGAGTTTCGAACTCGGTATGGCGCTTTAAAAAATTCCGTATATCGTACAGAACCTTACAAAAAAAGTTTTGAATTTTGCAACAAAATCGAGATCTTTTTGAGGCTTTGTAGGAAACCTGCAAAACCTTTAAAAAACGTTTTCTAGGCTCTTCACAATCATTTTGAGACTATCTTGGATCCTTACGAAACCTTAGAAAAAGTTATGAATTCGTGGCAAAAATGGCTGCATATGATACCTTATTGTCAGTGTGGTATATTTTAAAATCTGAAGAAAATTCTGTTTTTGATCAGGAAGAAAGTATATTTGCAAGACTTGGTCTTCTAATAGTAATTGTATACATTTATTCTAATTCAGCAGGATTTTTAACATTCTTGATAGAATTTTGTCCTTAGAACGAAAAACTATTCGGCAAGTGTATCTGAAGCAAACGTTGTTTTCTAAGGTGCGGCTAATTCAAAATTACAGCAGTTTTTTGTTTTAGCTTAAACATGCATTTCTAGATTCAGTTTTTCACGCTGATCACGAATATGTCCTCAGTTTTCGTTTTTGATAAAGTTTTTACGGAGAAAACCCCAAAATACTGGCAGGATGCCACAATCTTCAAAAACAATTTTCTTATGAAGAAAGAACCCTCAATTCTTTATCGTTTCACTTTTTGTCCTCACCAATATGATTTTCGGATTTCTCATGACGAACTGAATCTAGAAATATTGTCTACAGCTTTACTGGACACTATGTTGCTTATTAGAAAAATTCATGATCATATGATGCAGCACCTAGTCTTGCAAACCTATCTACTTTNACACCCACACCCACCCACACCCACACCCACACCCACACCCACACCCACTCAAGACAAACATTCAATAGATATATATTAATCAAAGTTCTAAAGTTAAATGTTTATTAAGTCCATTAATTTTTTTTTTTTTTATTCTTTAATTAACAGTTTCACTAATAGTACCCTTCATTTTTGTTTGAACACTTCGACCATTTGTTAATGTTTTTACACTAAATTCTGTTCCATTGTCTCTTGCTTTTCGAAACCATAAAAGTCGAAGTAATTCTTGTCGATAAATACGAGATGACAATGTAAAAATATAAAAACTTGTTACATAACTAACAAATAATGGTACAGTAAAAATTTGATGGAAAAATGAAAATAATTGTGCACGTCGATTGATTAAAAAACCCAGTAAATTTAGAACAGCGAATGGTAGAATACAAATAACTTGTGTTAAAATTTGTGAAAATAACATTCGAATTAAATGACGATCAAGACGACGAGAACCACCATTAACAGTTGCTAACATAGGTTGAATTCGATTTGATTGATGACGAACATTCATTAAAGTAAGTATACACAATACCGCCATGCAAAAAGATGGTAAAATACAATATACAATCAGATAAAATATTCGATAAAATAAATCATAAAGACCTGGTCGACTACTGCAGGTAGCAGAAGAACCTGATCTATTTAGTTCGTAGAATATTGCCATATGTAAATATAAAATACAAGCCAAAATAATTGCTGCAATAATTAATTGTTTTGCTACTTTTTTATTACACAATGATCGACGTGTAGCTAATGGTGAACTCGAGCAATATCGATCAAAACAAGCCAATGCATAGAAATATGGTGATAAAGCAAAAAGTACATAAGCGACAAAAAACCGTAATTTACACATAGCATCTGATGTTCTTGCTACATCCATACCATATCCATTGGCTAGTAGACGACTTAATAATGATACGTAAATAACAAGAATATTGTCGATTGAAGCTGCAATAAGATATAATGTGCATGATGATCGTGCAAGTGTCGGCCGTGTAAAAATAAATAAATTGAGAGCATTACCAATTGTTCCAAAAATAATAAACATTATTAATGAAACTCGTAAAATTTCTAAAGCAATATCTGCCAACATTGTTTTTGTTTTATGCCAATAAAAAAGATGAATAATTCTTTCGCTATCTATTTCAAAAATAAAAGTATAAGTGGAAATTAGGTCATTTTTATCCCGTATTAGCTTTGTCAAATTCATCTAATAGTTTTCTTCGACTCGACATCTGCATCCCAGATGCTGATAGACAACATTTTGTGTCTGTTTATTGCAGTAATCACATTACTTGATAAAGCTCTATTCGAGTAAACTAACTTTTACAGTTACGCTTGCATTTCGAGAGATTTGTTTTGTTCAAAATATCATCTGGCGTTCCTCAAACGATAGTGATCATATTGAATGCTTCCAAATTACTCTGAGAATTTTTAGCCAGATATGGTATTTCCCATGAAAAAAAAAATTTATCAAAAAGAACAGTCGAAAAACGCTTTCTGAAATAGTTTTTCTTGTTGTTTTTGAACGCCGCACGAAGACACTTTTGGCATTTTTATGAAACACGTTAATCCTGTATCCTCATTGGCTACTGAAATCGACATTTTTTAGAAATATTGCAGAAAAATACAAAACGTGAGATATTAAAAAATTCCTTACAGTATGCGTAGGAAGTTCCCTAAGCTACCTATTGATAAACAAGATATTTTGTATTCTTGCTATCTCCAAGATATACGAGTTAAAAAGGACACAGTTATGAGATTATTAAAAAAAAACAGGACTTCATTTTTTTATAATTGCTTTTTTAATAATGTGAAATATATATCTTAAGAACATTCTCTGTAATAAGTGTCGACGAAAGTTAAATAAAAAGTGTTTCAAAGTTTTCACACAAATTGGTTCAACAAAAAATTCTATGGTATAAAATGATAAATGGAATTGCCAAATTATCCTACACACATAGAAGTGTAACTCTCAACTATTATGAGGAATGGAAGTGGAGTAAAGAGTTAAAAACGACTTCAGAACATGTTTTATTATTTGACAAACGCATTTTTGATCGTTGATTTTTTTTATAGTGTTTTTTTTTTCATGATTTACATTGAAACTTGAAGTTTCTTTGGAGTCATAATCAAGCGAGTATAGGTAAAGAATCGAATTTTTCCTGAGTTTCGTTTAAAATCAACATTTTGTACATTCTCTTTCATAATTTTGAATTCATTTCATTGTATGTGCGTTGGATAGATCATTACTTTTTATGTATAAAAATATATGTTTATTTATTTCAGATTTGTTCCTAATATAGACTGATGATAAAAAGTGAATGTCTCTCGGAATGCAAGTCTATGTATAAAAGTTAATTTACTCGAGTAAAATATCATATCTTTTAAAAGATGAAGCATGAAATTCCGCATCGAGTAATGTTCTTACTGCAGTAAACAGATACAAAAAGTTGTTGATCGATTCCTGAGAGTGGAAGGAAGGGGTGCCAAATTGAAAAGTCAGTTAAATGAATTTTACAAAGCTGAATCGTACTAAATGTTCACCATGATTACATGGCTATGCCTAGTGTGAGAAAGTTGTTATTTTTCTTGGATTTATAACACAATTTAACTTCTATTTTAATAAAATCAAAAGAAATTGGTTACTTACTGTATTTTTTTTTTGATTAATGTTAACAAAAGATAATGATATGATGTGTTATGTTCAAAATATTTCTCTTATTTCTACTCTCTATTTATTTCGGAAAAATCTATGCTTAGTGTGCTGGAGGAAACTTTTCTTAATGAATTATTTTATGTTGGTTTTATGAGTATAGGCGAATAACTATATTAGTTGAAAGTCTTTGACAACGTACTGTTCCTAAAGAAATGAGTTAATTAATTTAAGTCTTCTATTATTGGCTTTTCAATCTTTCATTTGCTATTTAGAATGAAGCCACAAGATAAGATAAAATGCAACGAGCCGTAAGATGAATATGACAACATGTTGGAAGTCAATAATACAATGATTTTATTAACAAAACGCCATTTTTTCAACCTTTTAATCTAGATTTCTCTAATAGCAGTTCTAGAAGAGCTAATGATCAGAGAGTCTTATTAAGCCCGCCCTTCGCCCTCCGAAAATTCGATTTTCCTAAAAAAACAAAGGTAGTTGATCTAATTTTACAAGGATGTTGTTGCCCTAGGTGTCTACTTCAAAATATTCATAGAAAAAATTTTTCAAATTCGAAAGATTTCAATACGACATGCTAAAAATTTCGGAGATCTTCTATGACAATATTCTTTAACGAATGTAGGTAGGAATTGAAGGAAATCTGTGACAAACTCCATTTTGCTATTAATTATATGGTCACTAGGAGTACAACTCTACGTGTCTTAATTAATTTTAGCGATTGATGTGCTTCTTCGAATGAGGGGAAGACATTTTTAAAATGCTTCCTTGTTCTATAGAAAACCTTATCTGTCTGAAAAGTCTTGGATGGTTTTTTCCAGGTTTTAGAGATTTTGACCTTCCCAAAATTGAAGAAAAAAATAATTAAAAAAAATCCTTTCCCCTCATCCAAAGGAGCAAATAATTCTCTTTCAAATAAGACATTCCTCGATCATGTATCTTGAAGTATAGTGAAAAAGAATTTGTATGGGATGAGGACCCATTTTTTACCTTGATTCTCAGAAAATTCCTGAACGCTGAGGTTTGAAGAGGTAAAAAAAAAATCTCTTAAGTTTACTTTCATGAGCCTAACATTTATGAAAAGTTTCAGAGAGATCGAATGCACGGTATCGAAAATCGATTGTGGCGGATGGGATGTGGAGCCTTAATAGAGTATTAATCTGTCTAATATGGTACTGGTTTAGTCTGATCCATCTGCTGTCTTGTTCTTGGTGCACGATGATTTTGGTTACTTTAGTGGTTATGTGATAAAAGAAAAAGAGATTAAGCCGAGACAAGAAGTCTTTTAAATTTCTAACAAGCGACATCTACGTTCTATTGTCATGAACTAGGTACATAAAAAAATTCGTACATTCTATAAACACTCCATCCTTGCCTATCGATAGACTAATAACAAAGAGAAATGCATATATTGAAAAATATCTTTCTACCTTCAATTTAGAAGATTAAATGGAAAAAAAATCAATTCACCCACATAAATACGAAATATGAATTGTTCTATTCTTACAATGTGACATCTAAGTGAGACAAAAATTGCATATATATATAAGATGTCTATCTTATATCATTACGAATTGACTATTTATAAGAAAAAAAAAATACGTATCTCTTCGCCGAAAACCTTACGCCTTCTATGGGTATTAGTAGTGACGTCATATGCGAGTATGTGGTAGCTCCACTTCTCTCTTCTATGACCAAAACTCCTGTCGCCTCCGCTAATAATTATAAAGCTACCAGGCATAGTGTCAGAAATGTTGCGAAGATATATTTTTCTATAATATGAAGCAAGCTCATCTTTGGTAATTATTTCTATTTCAGAAATGAAATGTTTTTTGATTAGCTCTTTGCTTATAGAGAGAGTTACTCAACAGATCAAAGCGTGACCATTTTCATAAGAAGAAACTTTTAAATTCAATACAATTCTAAATATATCTTTTATATATATTTTAATCAAATAAACCAGAAAGTAGATCACTGTAATTCTGCTACAATGTTTTCCATGATGAATGTTTCCATCGGTATGTTAACGTAAACCAGTCATGTGGAGTTTATCTATAGCAAAGTTTTTTTCTCAGAATAACAATTACTATAAATTTCTTTTACTGGAATTCAGAACCGTAATTTTTCTAGTCACTCTTTATTAAAATGTGGATTTCAAACAATATATAAGACAAATGGAATCAATTAAATTGCAATGAAGTTCTTGTATTGAAATGAATTAGCAAGAATTAAAGGAAGGATGCCATGTCCCTTGTTAACCACTTTTCTGCAAAAATCTGATGAAATTGGACAGAAAAACGCACAAAAAAGGTCGAAAAATATCTAGTAAAACACGATTGCAATTCATTATTTTTGTTCGAAAAACGTCAAAAATTTTATTTTATTTTAATTTTTTGAGCGACGCTCTTTTTTTTTTGTCTTACTGCTATTGATTTAATGAATTTTAACAATCCATTATATATATTTCGATGAACTCAGAAACATTGATATTAATTATTTCCGAAAGTTCAAATTTACTCAATTCATGCTTTTGTGTTGATCATATGACAATTGTGGAAAACCAAAACATCATTCTCGATATCTATTATATAATCGTTTATCTGCGTAAAAATCAGAAACTCCGTTATTTAGAATATCGGAAAAGATATTCCAGTCATTTACAGTTCCAGCATGATTCTAGAATGTTCCAAAACCTTTTGAAGTCTTGTTAGCAATATTGTGCATAGGATTATGGCTGCTAAAGTCTATAATAGGGAGGAATCTGGGAAGCCGAAAAAATTCGACTTAAAACTTGCCCTCACTATTTTCTTCGAAAATATAGATGAGTTCTACAAAAGTGACAACTTGTACATTGAGCTATTTATCATCTGCGATCAATTCTAAATAAAATTTTACATGTACGATGTATAATCTTTACTAAATATGAAATAGATATTAAAATCTAATCGCTATTGTGAATTTATAATTATATTACATGACGGCAAAGTTAACACTGTAGATTCATAACATAATTTCATGTCCTAAAAGTCAAGGCGATTTTCGAAGAAAACATCGACATAAAATCATCATTATGGAATAAGAAATGATTTATCGATAAGTCTTATTTAATCACTGCTTTCAGTAACTAATTACAAATTGTCAAATTAACTAGAGAAATATTCTAAGATATGTAAAATTGAGAGTCAAATATACTTTCTATACATTTTTTCACTATAATTTGGAAACCAAGAGAAAGATTTAATTTTGATATGGATATTACTATTATGGCAATAATAAGATAAAAGAACTTTTTTTTTTTAAATCGAATTCAACATTGCATAGGCATTCCTTTATTTGAAAAGATGTTTTTGTTAATATACATAACTACAGATATGTTTTCTTATCACATAATTTTTTCTATTAGAATATTACTTTTGTAGATTCATTTTTAGATGAGTTTTTCAATCCTGGATTAATGTTAAAGTTGAAAACTCGTCTTACATTTTTAAGATGAAGTCTTCAATTTTAATCCTTTTAATCTTGCTTTTTAATTATAATTTCTATTTATTCCTATACTTTTATATATTTAATTTATTAACGAAGAAGATTATTATTTCTTACTTTTTCGATTCTGTTCTCATTTAATTATGAGAAATGGAATGTTGTATTCGCATTTTTTGAAATTTTTGTTACATGTTTTATTCATAGAATAATGAAAGTAATCAATTTTTGAATCACAATATTCTTTAACGTAAATTAGTAAATAGGAACTCTTCAATATAACAGTAGAAATCGAATTTACATAAACAAAGTCATCTCTATTGTTTATATAATGAATGAAAATAATCGATCATAATATCACAAAGAACGTCAGAATCATCAAAAAATATCGGCGATTAATCATGAGCTTTCTAGTGATTTCAAGCATCTGGGATGCTATACAAGTGTAATGCAGATTTTCTCTTCAAATTTATAAACACCAGATTCATGAGGAAAATCCACCAACTGATAAATCGATTTTAAGTCGAGATTATGTATATTATGTAAATTCTAATGAGCTATGATTAGCTTGGAAAGAGTTCGTGTCCAAAGCAATTTATCAGTTTGTGGACTTTATTCGTCAATCGTTACACAATAATAAATAAATAAATAAATGCTCTTTCTGCAGGACGTATTCAACAAAAATAAAGAGTAGACATTGCGCATCTATGCTCCTGATGATAAAAAGGAAAGAGAATTGCATAAACGTGCACACGATCGCAAGACATTTTCCACGGTGATGCATACTTTTACAAGGTGAGTGTTTAAAATAGCAGAGCATATTATATCGTTTATCGTACATGATTTTCTAGTCGTTCCATAGACATATCATTATTTCTTCTGATAGATTTCTTGTTTCTCGATACCTTGAGAATCTAAGTGTAGATCGATATAGAACATATGATCTCTTACAATGATGAATCCAACGTTTGATTTAACCTTTCGTTTGAGTACTTTCAAAAGGTTTTATATCAATCAACTTGTCGCTCTCATTTCTGACAAAGTTATGTATGAGTCTTGTTTTTACGACGATGTTCATATTGTCTGATAAGAAAATCGTTGAAGTTAACAGCATTCTAATTTTTTTTGCCCCGTCAACAAAATACAAGTTCCATGTTTTGAATTTTCTGTTAGGACAAATATGAGTGTATGAGGAAAACACTCGAGACCCTACACTTAGATAACCACCCGAGATGCTCTCGATCTTTGTGCGGATCAAATTGAGACGATATTTGGCAGAAATTGTCTTTTTCTGGGACTGGAATCAGTTTGTCGGTTGAAGTGATAGATCCACTCAAAAGCGTTCGAGCATATAAACAAAAGAGACATATGAATTCAATTTTCATTCATTCTATCCAATGGCAATATGTGGTTCTGAACGTTGGTGTGACTGAGAGAAAGACTCACACACACACCACGCCCACACTCTATCAAACGATTTTATCCATCAAATTGTTGATAAGAAAATCGTGAAATACAAAGCGTGCGCAAAACCTTGCTATTTTTTTAGTTCTATTTATAGATAAGTACGATGCATGTCTTCTGATACGTTATAGAATAATTCAAGGAGCTAATATTTCCGATTTACGACGTTATTATCTAGGCCTTTCGTTTAAGATATTAAAATAAAAAATTCGAAAAGTTTTCTCATTAGATACACATGAAGATTGATCGGTCCTGTAACGGATGCTCTTGAAAATAGAAATTCTTTTCCGCATATAGGAGGAGTTCGAGTGCTCAGTCTGAAATGTTTTTCGAGTGATGCCGACACAATATTTGTTTCCTCAATTCAGTCTAAATCAAATAATAATTTAATTCATATAATAATGGATGATCACCATGGATTTATGAATAGTTATCATGATCTATTCATAAGTTGCATACTTACAATGGAGGTGTTTGTGTCGTAAGTTGAAAAGACCAGATATGTTTGCATCAAAAGAAAGCTTTCACCGCCAAACTAACAAGGTTAAAATATTAGCTGTTGTTGGCTTGTCTAGAGGGGGATATTGAGATTTTAAATTTAGGTACAAAAATGAATCAGGAAAGGTTTTCTCCACTATTATCAGGACAAAACATAGTGTTGTTCGAGGCGATTATGGGGTTTGTAGGATCGCTCTTTCTTATGGTCCGAACAACACTATGTTCTGTCCTTATAATAGCGAATTTAATTTTCCTAGTGGTTGATAAGAAAAGCTGTTTCCATGAGCTACAGGAAAAATTTACCCNTGCTCGTGTTTTGGGGGCCGAAGTTCGCGCACATTCAAATTGTAAAAAAAAGAAATTAAAGACAGGTTGGTTAAAACTAGATCATACGAAATTGAACGACGAAAATATGCTAGCTGAATTTCAGGTAGAGCTAGCGAAACATCGTGAAAGCACAAAAAAACCATAACAAGAAATTGTCTGTTGACGAGAAGTTTGCAAAACTTGCTAATTATGTAGGCAAACAGGGCAATTACTATTTTCGAAAAGATCAGGGTTGCTCAAATAGTACTAAAGAATGGTTCACACCAGAAATAATGAATATTGTAGACAAAAAAGTCAAAGCCTACGTACAATGGCAACTTCATTGCGGTACGAGTGAGGAAAATAAATACAGGAATCGCTATCGAACGTTGGCCAAGCTACTGTAAAAATAGAAAAAAAAATCCCCCAAGGAGAAAGAAAGCAAGAAAAGAAAGAAAAAATCAACTTTTTCGATTTCGAGCTTTTTTTGTTCAACACAAGACATTCAATTATTCTCTATCAAGCGGCATACAAATGAAAAGTTTTTATTGTTGTTAAGACCCTTCGAAATTTCGCCTTCACAGAACCCCTATTTCAAAAAACATGTTTCGGCGCTGTTTGATGTAGCAAATAATCTATACCAAACTAGTAATTTCATCGCCAAAATATGTTTATGTGGATTAGAGATATATTCCCCTAGCCATTTTACAGTGAAAATAACTGATAAATATAAGTGAAAAAATTAAAATTCTGAAATATCAAACAACAGTATTTTACATCGTTTTGCGTTTTTCTCAAAACCAATGTCTTCGCAAAGGCATTGAAGTTTTCTTCCTTTTCTCCACTCCATTACAACAAATGGGACTGGTAGTTTTCTTGCAAAAACTTGGCTCGAATTGAGGTGAATGTTCTTTTCGTCAATAAACATTGGACTATTAAGATTTAGGGTGTGAGTGTGATTGACTGCACTCGAACCTCAAACATGTTCACACACACACGCACACCGCACCGTTTTGAATACAATACAATAAAAGCAAAAAAATTGAAAAAAATTAGCTATTAAAATGGAAAAAAGAAGAGTAGATAATAAACGAGAGAAGAGAAAAATAATGTATAGTTTGTAATCGGAAAAATAAAAAAGAAGTAGTCTTCCCTTTTTCACGATTCTCCTGAATCGATTCATCATATCAGGCTGAACTTCACTTCGCAATAACCAATTCTGCTAGTTGATCAGCCACTTGTGTGCCTCTTCGAACAGCACCTTCAAGGAAACCACCGTGACTATTGCTCACTTCACTATTGCCTAACCACAATCGACCATTCCATTGTGGCTGTCTACATAGATTACTTGCATATGAATGGCCACCGATACTGTTATTTGTTGAAAATGATGTGAATACTTCACTACTCCAATCGGTCATGTATATAGCTGTTGGATTCATTGCCTCATTACCAAATATTTTGACAGTAGCATCAATCACCTGTTGCTTGGTTGTACCAGCCAAACAGAAAACAAAGAGAGCATTGCAACTATCACTACTGGCATCGTGCCACTCTTGAGCTTTGCTATGACGTGAAATAGCAAATCCACTCAACTTTTGGTCTTTCCACCATGCACGATCGTACTGTAGAATAGCTTTACATGTTGATGCCATCCATGTATCACAGTCATTGAGCTGCTCGATGAGTGACTGTGGTAATTCTGGCGTTATGTGTATAGTCGACATTAATAGTTTGGGCGGTAGAGCTAGTACCACATAATCAGCTAATATTGAGCTCTTGTTACGCAGTTTTACATTAATAGTTTTGTTAGTTTCGTACGCAATAGACATAACCAAGGAGTTAAGTTCTACAGTAACTGTTGTTTGATTTTTTGTAGTTAATTCAGTGAGCATTGCAGCACACAAACTACTTGTTCCACCTTTAAGACGTTTCGCTCCGTTGTGAATGTCATTCAAGACCATGCGTTGAATACCACCATTTCCGGTACTAATGAGTGACACTCCATTTTCGTATTGATCGATTGTACTGATATTGAGTTCACGTACAAGTGAGAGTGCTGCAGCATGAGATGAAAAGATCCATGATGCGCCCAAATCAAGATTGAGCTCAGGCAAACTCAATGTTCGACCACCGACTCGGTCACGTGCTTCAAGTACTGTGATTTTATGCGGTCGTTTCTTGAGTGAATGTGTTAAATGTCTAGCACAAGTTAGACCAGCAACGCCGGCTCCCACAATGACAATATGAAGTGTTGAGTTAGATGCAGATTTTTGACTGATCTTGTCCGCATTATTCATTGCTTTAAACAAAGAAAAACCTTTGACAGCATAAAAATTGTCGCCCATTTTTGTCAATTGTTCAAGACCTCAATAATATTTCTCGTGTTTATTTAAGACAATGCAATTCTCAAAGGTTTACAAACGACATGCTTATTCAGTTCAGGTTCGATTATGAACAATTCCAATACAAAAGTCTTTAGAAAAATTTCACAGCAGCGAAACGTTGAATCGACTTCTTTTTGTTAGAAAGAGTAAAATCTGAAGAATAAAACACATCACTATAGACGAAAAATTTTACTTTCGATTCACTAAGACAAAATTCAAATACGAGACAGTGCTCTCAAATTATATTTTCAAGCTGACTTTGCTCTTTCAGCAACAAGAAAAAGGTTAAGGTCGATCCAATGTTTCACTTCTGAGATTTTCCCAAAAGTTTCTGCATCGTACGACGAAAAAAGAAAATGTAGGAAACCATGGTTCATGTTTCCAAGTCATTCACTCGAGATTCTCCATTAAAAGTAATGTTTCTTATATACAACACTTCTCAAAATTATCAGAAAAATGCATTATTTGGTGTTTTAATCTTTTTCTTCAATTCTATAATTGGTTTATGCATTCAGTTATCTTCTATCCGAATATGAAATCTAATTTCTTAATATGACTGTCAAGATTGGAAAAGTACATGTTTGTAGAAGAGTTTCGTGAGGTTGACTCGAAACTTATATGAGCAAATCGAGTAGATGAATCTGAATATTTTCTGCAATAGGACTTTGAAAAACAATCTATTATTAGATATATAATTAAATTGGACTGATCAAACCAGAACTCCTTGAAATTATTCGATCACTTCAGTATTTGTACTATCTAAATTGAAACATAGACGAGGATGAATTTCTAACAACAAAATCTAATAGAAAACAATGTTTGCTACACAATGAAATGTTTTCGAGATCTCAGTATGATTTTGTCAGAGTGAACAGGCTACTTCAAAACAGATATTACTTTTCTTTGTGCTAAAAACGCATACAAATGGTTTGAAAATGTTGCCGTAAATTTTGCAGTGAGAACTGTACAAGATTCTAGATGTGTCAACTTGGCACATAAGCTAAAAAGCGAAGTAGTTACCTTGAAAAATATACACTATAGAGATGTTTCTTCATTTTCTATGCAATAACAACTAAGACTCAAAGAGAAATGACATTAAAAATCTCGTTTATAAGTATCACAATTCGATTAACAGAGATATTGTGTATTTTTACTTACCATTGGCAAATTCTTGAGAGCTCGTGGATGTCATTGTGTGAGTCGCGGTACGTCGATGAAAATGCTTCTTTGCTGCAAGATAATAGTACTGCGCGAACGAGAAAAGTATGCTCTTATATACGCTGCTACTAGCGTCGGGAAAGAGAGAAAGAGAACAAAAAGAATCCATCGTCATCGTGATATTCAGACATCCACCTGTCTCGAGTTTCTTTTTTCTTTCTCTTCCGTTACATGTTTTTTCTCTTCTAAAGGGAAAAAACCGGGCGAACGATCGAGTGATGATGCCTACAAAATGAAATGCCTCAATGTTACTCGTTTCTACTTCAAAATTTCATAGTTGAATCAAATTGCTTCTTTCTTTTTCGAAGTAGAAGACAAAAAAAATAGAGTTTTATAATTCGAAAATCACGAGGGCTGCTGAAACCTACAGCATAAAGAGGAGAACGAAATATCTTTCGACGTTGTAATTCATTGGTTGCGTTCCTCCAACCAATACATTTGAATGTTTTGATAAAATGTCACTTTGATCTAATCATAGTGCCATACGACCTCAACTTCTTTTAACTCAACACAAAACGTGACAGGCATAACAGACAGCATTTTACATTTAGCCATAAACAAGATAAAAAAAGCAACCACATCAGGTTGTACTAACCCATGTTATCAAAATCACGTCCCTTTTAGTTATTAATCGCGGTTAATCGGCACTTTTGCAACAAACCTCAACAGTAAGTATTATTTTATAAAAATAATGTTTTTTTTCTTCTTTTGATATCACCTGATCATTTCAACGAACAGATATATTATTTTAAGAATTCGAGTATTTTTCAATTTGTAGGTATTCATCTACGAAAATTTTGCATTCTTCAAGCTGAATTACAAATGACAATACGGTTGTCACTGGATTGTGAACCAATGCCATTTCGAGTATTTTATGACATATGAAAGTGGTTATCATCTTGATATATGACTTTATCGTGAAGTAACAAATCAAGCTGCAGAACAAATTGTATTTTAAACATAATATTGATAAAAAAAAGTTCAGTAGATGGTTGAGTATAGCATGATTCATATTTAACAAAAGATCATTTATAGTATAAAGGTTTTATAGCTGTCTTTCGAATTAAATAAACTTAAAGATCAATCAATATCAAAAGATAATTTTACTTATCAAGAACTAATACGTGATAATACAAATCAAGGTAAAATAGAAAGAATCATTGTTATTAATGTTAATTGAAAAAAAAATTATAGTAGATCTCAATAATTCATCATCCGTACTTTCACTAGTTGATATTCAATTAACAAGGACAATATCTACACCTGTTATTAATAGTATTACTTCTTCTACTTCTACGCCATCAAGTTTAACATCAATATCATTACAATTATCTTCATTTGGTATAAATCAACCAAATGATAAATTTCATCAATGTGGTTTCATAACATATACACATTCACCAACAGGAAATGATTATAGTATTGTTGCATGGTGTATTCATATGATAACACTTGAATATCCAAATGATCGTGCGACAATTATTATTGCTAATAATATAACATATAAAATAGATTCGTTGAGAACATGTACCGCATATTTATATATCTGAAAATAGTGGTGCACGTATTAGTTTTGCTGAAGAACTTAAATTTCTTATTCGTATTGCTTGGAATGATCCAAAATATATTGATTTGTGTACGAACAGAAACTATAAATGAAGACGAAAATTTAAGATACAAAAATCATTGATATTATTGGAAAAAGAAAGTAGCTTAGATGTAGAAAATTTATGTGGATCAGGAATGATTGCTGATGAAACATCCCATGCATATAATGATATTCTAAGTATTAGAATATATTGATTTTTTTTCTTAACCCTTTGGGGACGGGGTTACTATAGCAAAAAAAAACTTTTTTTGAAATACGGAACAATGCATTTATTCGCAAATATATGGTGTGGGTGTGGATGTAACTGCAATTGCAGTCACATCCACACCCGTACTTAATTCATTTTGTTCCAACATCAACATCATATGATTCAAGAACGACAGTTTACTTTCACACAAAAAAATATAAATCATATTGATACAGGTGTATCAATGATTTGATGCAACTATATATGAACTAAATCAGGCAAAACGGAACATTTACATCTTTCGTTTGAGTTTTATTCTCTATAAGAATGAATTTTTTGGATAAATTCTTTTAACATAGACTTATGTAATTAGAGAATATCTCGCTAACCAGATGAGAAAAAAATCTGAAAACTTCAGGATAGGTTCTGAGATTTGAGCTGCATCTATAGTGAAATTTTCAGCAAGATTGGACTCCAAAACATTTCTTCTGAAAAACCTGTTTTTTAGAGATCCTAAAAAGTGCAGAAACGAAAACTTTTATCTTATTATCGTCTAGGGACTCCAGGTAATGATTTGTAACGTTTGAAGTCGATTTGAAACTTTTTAGTTAGGTACAAGAGCACCTTCTCGACTCTGTAGTCGTACTGCGTCACGTCGCTAACAACGAATAAATCAGTTCTTTTTTATAAGTCTAGACATGCTCAAAAAAAGTTTTCCACAAAGATTTCATAGTCTTAGGAGTCGTCTACAGAATGTCCTATCTAGTTTCCTAAAATTGTGCATGAATTGGGAATTTATAAAAACTAAAATAGATGAAGTGAAAGTAGATGTCCTTTTTTGCGTCACGTTGTTAAAGCTAGGTTTTTATTGATAACTCCTCTAAATGAAGGTCCATAGCACTGATTTTTTTTTGAGTATCTAGAGTAACTTAATGTCTATGCAACAAGTAAAAATCAGATCTAAGCACGCTCATTGTTTCGAGATACACATATTTTAATTTTGCGAAATCACGTCGTTAACGAATGATTTAGCCCATTTATATCGTTACAATACAAAAGTAAATATCAAGTTGTTTAAAAGGTTTTCATTTCTTCTATTATGAGTGCAACAAAAACTGTCACGAAATTTGAATTGTTACCAAACGAATTACTTATGGAATGTTTGGAATATCTCGATTCATCTGAGATTTTCAATTCATTCGATCGATTGAATTATTGTTTCCATAAATTTATTCGAAATATATTCCATTATAATTCGATTGGCAATATATTCGTAAATCAATATTTGATCAATTTTGTAGTACAATTTTATCAAATCAAAAATTAAAAATCAAATTTATTCATTACATTTATCGAAGCATTTCTTTCATTGTTTTTTTCATTCAATGAATTTTTAAATTTTCGATCATTATCATTGATTTTAGTTGTATAATGATCTTGAGAATGTGGATGTGGATATACGTCCATGTTAATTCAAAAAACATCCACACCCACATCCACATGGTCATACATCCTATTTGAATAAATCATGAAATTTCAACAAGAAAAACTTTTTGACCCGTTTCCTTCTTCGTCTCGCAGCCAAATGCTAATAATATAAACTTGAACAGCGATGACCGAAAATCATTAATGATATTTTTTTTCACAGAATGCACACAAGACTATGATAATACTGTTTCTTATTTGTACCTGATTTATTATTACAGCTGTCTAATTCTTAAACACTATGCACGTTATGAATACATAGATCGACGTCACAAAATAATGCAACCATATCACTATAGTTTTTTATCAATGAAGAATGAAGAACAGTCAGTGATTGCATACAAATTAGAGACCGTTATAGAACAAGAAATTTTTGCCATGTGCCCATAAAAAATTTAAAAATCTGATTCTACTTTAGTTTTTCTGATTAAAAAACCAATTAAAATGGCAATATTTTAATTCAATTTTAATCTATTCAATTAGAAAATAGTCGATTTTCATCGAACATCCCTCAACAATAGAAGATCATTCTATATTTGAAGATTACCAACTAAACAATTTCACAAAGGGTAACAGAAAACCATGAATTTTTCAAAATTCTGTTGGTTTCGTGTGATTCAGCATATAAAAATTTGGTTTTTGAGTGAAAAATCGTTTTTTTCGTAATTAAAATTACTTTTTTCCTAATAATGGTGTTTTTCCGAGTGAAAAACCTGGTATTCCCGCGTCACGTAGTCACTAAAAACGCCTATTTGAATGACAGAAAAGTTCTTCGAAGATCCTTGATTGCATAGGCAAATGTCAGCATAAAACACCTGTAGTAGAAGGCCACTTTTGGAAGAGCGATGTGATATTCCATAAAAAAAACACCATAATTTTTTATTCTGTCGAAAAGGAGACACTAGATTTATCGGCATTCTGGTTTACACAAGTAAATATCGCTTTTTATCGTACCTTAAATGTCAGATACGCGATTCTTTTTAATCCATACCAAGTTTGATCGTGACACTCCTTCAAGATGACATAAATAAAATATGGATGCTAAGTTTGAAAGCGATAACATTATTTTTACCAAGGCTTTAGATCTCACAATAGTAGAGATCTGCGTGACCAGATTTTTTAGTCACGGTCACGGCCGCGGTCACGGTAGTTTTTTAAAGCTAGTCAACGATCACGGTCACGATCATATCTGTGGGGAATTTATGGATTCTGTAACAGTTACAGTCATAGACATTAAAAGACGTTAGTAAATAACGACGCAGGATGAAAATTACGGAGATTTTCTCTCAGAAAAACACCGGAAATCGCTGGAGTAGGGAAAAGTATTTGAGCCGAAAACTTTCTGGACTCTTCCGAAAGATTTCTATCTGCTTCCCTGCGCTTTTCAGCAACAGCTGACCGGAAAACTTTGGACCGGAAGACTTCTTTCAATATTTCTACGATTTTCCAGGTTTTTCTGCAGGATACAGTGACTTTTCCAATACTTCGTGGCGATTTCTGTAGTATCCGTCCATCGAAATGATTGATTCGAAGTCTACTGATGATTATCGCAATAAAAGATTTTCAATAAAACAAGATTGGCTTATAAAAATCGATGTAAATCTTATGATATTCGTTTTTTTGATAGATATAAAGAACTGCGTGATCCAGGATTTTTAGTCACGGTCACGTCACGGTCATGCTCACACGTGAGCATGACCGTGACCATTTTTCAGATCTCTGCACAATAGGCATACTCAAACTAGGGTTCTTACTCTAACCTGCCCTGTGACAGTGTCTGATGGATTTTAAATAGATTGAATTAATGAAAAAGAAACACAATTGTATTTGGAACATATTTACATATATAAAAAGAAAATTATTTTGACTTTAGTATTACTCATGTATGTTTAAAGATGCAATTATATAAGAAAATAAAAGTGATCATAAAAAATCTTATTACAAACGGTGCAAAACCTCAATAGACGGTGAATTCTCGTAGTTACCATTATCTAATGATGTAGTCAATACAAGTCAAAAATATATTTAAGAAACTATTTGATATACCAAAATATTACTGTTACTTGAGACTACGTAGGAGTCATTGCACGAGAACCACGACCTACGTTGTTCAATGATTTTCTCCGATTTTGATTTTGATTAAAGTAATAGATAGTACTACTAAAGTTAGGTATATGGTAAAATTTTCACGTTCAATACCTTTCCATTGCTGAGAAATAAGGACTTCATTTCTACCACTCAGCGATAGGACCCACTGTAGACGTTATTTTTTTAAATCATGCTGTTATTCATCGATAACGTTTCCAATCGCCAAACTTGGTGGGTATATATGATGATATATGCCCTATATATCTACGGTCCAAGAATTGTCTTTCATCGCTCTTTGTGTTCGTGGCAGGCGATTTTACTGCAAAAATAAGCCCTTTTTTCTGCATTTGATTTCTTTTACCTATGCAAACAAATTCCATACCTATCTTTATCAACTAGTATTACTAACATCAATCTATCGTAATAAACCTTCAATGGTTTGGGCAAGCATTCTAGGCCTTGACACGGACCGGCAGAAGTATGCGATATTTTTTTGGTATATTCACCTGCAGCTATTCCCGCAGGATATTAGCCACGCCTACATAATTGAACTTGTTTGTTGATGCAATTTTCAAAGTTTGTAGAGCTCTCAATTTTGAGCATTTTCATTAAAAAAAACTTTGAAAAGCTTTTATTTTGAATGAAATATACTCAAAATACTTTAAGAATGAATAAACAGAAATAAAAAAAAAACATTTTTTCCATTCTATTTTTGTCTGCAGTGTGTCAGAGTCAGAGGAATCCGAGGTTGAATTTGATGTATGTTATGCAGCTTTCTATTCTCGACAAAAGGGCAGAAAAATCTTTAGAAAAAGATAGTTTGTTGAAGTCGAAACAGGGCTCATGCCATATCCTATTGGATAAATTTTTGAACAGAAATAGACACTTTTAACGCTTTTCATTGTCATAAAATAATTTCAAAGCAAAATGAGTTCAATATTCAGAATTAGCATAAAAAACTGCGTCGAATTATATATAATTCAAAGGAATTTGCTTCCGACCCGAAATTGTGTTATGACAATGGAAATCGCGAAACAATTCCATTTTTTTTCAAAAATTTATCGAACAGAAGAAGATTGAAGTCCTACTTCGAATCGAATGAGCCACCTTCTTGAAATATTTTTTTTACCACTTTGTAGAGAATAGAAAGCTGCATAACATACATAAAATTCAACCTCGGATTCCTCTGACGCTGACACACTGAGGACGAAAATAGTATGGAAAAAATGTTTTTTTTTATTTCTGTTTATTCCTTCTTAAAGTATTTTAAGTATATCTCATTCAAAATAAAAGCTTTTCAAAATTATTTTTTTATTAAAATGCTCATAATTGAGAGCTCTACAAACTTTGAAAATTGCATCAACAAACGAGTTCAATTATGCAGGCGTGGTTGATATTCTGCGGGAATACCTGCATGTGAATATAGCAAGAAAATATCGCATACTTCTGCCGGTCCGTGTCAAGGCCTAGAATGCTTGCCCAAACCATTGAAGGTTTATTACGATAGATTGATGTTAGTACTACTAGTTGATAAAGATAGGTATGGAATTCGTTTGCATAGGTAAAAGAAATCAAATGCAGAAAAAAGGACTTATTTTTGCAGCAAAATCGCGTGCCACGGACACATAGAGTGACGAAAGACAATTCTTGGACCGTAGATATGTAGGGCATATATCATCATATATACCCACCAAATTTGGCGATTGGAAAAATTATAGATGAATAACAGCATGATTTAAAAAAATAACGTCTACAGTGGGTCCTATCGCTGGGTGGTAGAAATAAAGTCCTTATTTGTCAGCAATGGAAAGGTATTGAACGTTGAAAATTTTACCGTATACCTAACTTTAGTAGCACTATCTATTGCTTTAATCAAAATCAAAATCGGAGAGAGGCATTGAACAACTTATATTAGAATTGGTAGTAGTTCTCGTGCAATGACTCATAGATATATTACACTAAGGTACAAATCACTCTTTCGTTTTGATCGCTTGATTTGAACATCTTCTGGAAGAACTGATTTGACTGTAATCAATATCAGAGATTCTTATTCTCTTAATAAAGCACAGAGGAAACAATTTCTTATAAGAAGATTTTATAAAAATAAAAGAATTTTAGAATGTGTTATTATTTTCATTTTCTAGATGTATGTATGAATTTTAACTATAATTTGTAAGATATTGATTTTTTAGATCCTACATAAAACCTTGCTCATTGTTCAAATTAGAGTTTTCATCATCTTCTTGTAACTTAGAAACCTATGTCGAAAGACAAAGTATGCAAATTATAATATATTTGTGTTATCACTAGACGTGCATAGAATGAATCGTCTGACTTCTCAAGCATTTTTCACCTATGAATGTTATTTATGTAATGTGAATTTGAAAGGAGTAAAAAAGAAAAGTTGGACTAAGCACGTCGCACACTTAAATCGGCTGGTATGTATAACATGAATATGCATAAATACAACAGATCATTAGTGTTAATCATTTGTCTTTTCATTCTTTTTTTTCAGTATACTTGATGGAAAGAATCAAAATCAATTACTATGATCCTTTGCTGACGGCTTTGATAGAGAGATGTCAAAAACGTAAGTATGATTTTTGGATATTTTTAAACTTCTTTTTTTCCTAATTAAATGATCTTTGTTCTCTAAAATATAGGTCATCAAATTATTGATTATCCGTGTTTACGAAAATACGACCAATGGAATAAACATTTCTCTATGAAAGCTGCTACAACTAACGAAAACGAAAAAGAACGACTTATTGATTATAATTGTATATATCGATATGGAAAATATGAAGTTACACTTGAATATAGTATATTAACGGCAAAGTGGACAATAGTGAATGATAAATATCATTCCGAAGAAGAAGAAAAACAATCAAATACATACATCAATCGTATGAATGAAACTCCGTGGATCGATATGGATTATACACTTGATGAACGAATTCGACATATTTTAAGATTATTTGATGATTATTTCTCTAGTTAGTATATTATTTACAAATTCTATAATCTCATCTTAGTTCTATGTTAAGAATTATGTTAAGTATTTTCTTCGACGAAGAAAGTATTTTATTTAAAAAAAAAAGTTTAAATACAAACAAAAATGTCAAGAAGAGTAATCAAGGAAACAATCGTACATATTATGAATAAACATTTAATTAAATTCATTCAATAATTATTATATGAGTATTTTGAAAAGCAGGAGACAACATGAACTTATATATATATTTTGTTTGTCGAATACATTTTTCTTGTTTTAGAACTCAATTAACCGAAAGAGATGAAACAAAACAAAAAAAATATGTCAAAGTCTTTACCAACTTTCAATGCAGAAAATGATGAACATCAACGACAAGAAAATTCTAATTCTTTAAAAAAAAGATGCGGTTGATAATGGTTTGCATTCATTAATAACAGAATCAGTTGCACTACATCATAGTCATCAAAACAGTGAATATAATACACAAAGTAGTGTACGATATGCTTCGTAAGTAAACTATTAGTTATTTTTGTGTAATGTTGATGTTCTCTTTTCTTTAAAGAATTGTTCCACCGCCATCAACAGCACTTGTTCGTCGACGACGTGTCATCGAATCGATTTATGTACGTGTTCAATGAAAGCAAGGATATTGAAATAAAGTACTTGTTTGAATAGATTTCTACTCATAGGAAAAAAAATTTGAAAAAATTATTGATCTATTAAATAGGACAGAACCACCAACAATGTATGAATTAGGTTTAGGATTTTTACATATATATGATGGAAAATTTAATTATCGAGAAGGACATACTGTATGTAATTCTTGTTGTATTCTTTTAAATTTACTGTTAACATCTACTATAGTTTGCGATGTCTTTTCGAAACAAGACTTGGTTTTTAACCATTGACAAGATCAAATATAAGTTAGTATTAATAAGAATAGAAATATTCTAAACAAATGTTGATCTATATAGATGTTGAATGTCAATTGAATAAGTTCGAACCACGATCTGTATTGATACTCAATTACAAAAATCAATTAACTAGTGTTCAACTTTAATTAAATACGTGTTTCAATTGCAGAAAAAAACTCTTGTTTAGAATAAAGTTCAATATCTTTTGTTTTTTTGTACATTTATTCAAATTAATAAATATTCTATTGGCTTTACTTTTCAAGAAGTAATCAGATTATTTTTTAGTAAAAATATGTCAATAATTTTCTGAAGGTTCTAGGAGAGCATTAATTTCAGAAATACATGTTATACATTATATGAAATAAATTCTTCATTTTCTCATAAAATTCATAATTCATTTATGTTACTTTGGTTAATTACATCAGTACATCGATTATAATTTCTTACTCATAGATCAAGAGTCGAAGATCGAATCGAGTCAAATCAACTTGCTAATTTCTATACTAAACTAATTGTTGAAAATGTCTGGAATAAGCTCCGTTCAGAGTTCAATCTATTAGAAAAAATGTTAGAAGTTTTGAAAACGATGCAACCCCGTTATATGAGCACTTTGAAGAAAAATAAGATATGTATATAAATCATATGGTTAGAGACGGAATTCGACAAAGTAGAACAATCAGAAGTTCCATTCTGCTGCTGTTGAGAAGTTCCAAAAGGTACAGTGACATTGAAGAGTATCAGTGAAGTTTGTCGACCCATTTCAGTTGTACCTATAAAATCAATTGTTGTCGGAAGATCTTGAATACATGCTGGATCACTCCATTCGCTTGAAAATAGAGTTGGAAATGCCCAAGAAAGAATTAATTGTAGTGGACACGAATAGCCTAAAGAGGCAATCGGTGCAATGACGTGTCCAACTAATGGAATTGAATACAATTTTCGAGTTTTCATTGTTATTGTTGCTAGATGTGTAGCTAAATCGAATGGTGTCGCAGGATCCATTTGCCCAGCTATCATAAGTACTGATGAATTAGCAACACGATATCGATATTCATCTAATGAATATTTTGGCCAAGCTGACCTTAATACAATCACATCAGAAGCATCTTCTCGAGACATTATTGTGGCATTGTATAAAGCATTTAATGTTTCTTGATTTATTTCGGATTGATTCAAGCTAAGCCAAAGTTCCGAGAATACAATGTTCGAATACAAAACATTAGAATTGAGCAATGCTAAATTTTCATCACTCGACGATGTGTTATTCGAAAGAGATGTTGAGAATCCTTGAGTTTGAAAGAAGAAGTCTAACGCAGCTACATCTTCTTAATTACATCTATCAAGTCGAAATATGAATGCTGGAATAATAGTTCGATCAAAGTAACGTAATGCTGATTGAAATAAAAAGAACAAGGTCGATCGAATTTTATTGGAATTAATTTTATATTGCGAAAAATAAGTGTTGATACATGTCTGTTTATTCAAATCCAAGTCACGTAAGATTTTCTGAAGAATTATAGCAGGTGGATCAATGGGAAAATATTTAATACATTCGGTTTGAATTTGACAATAAGTGAGAAACTGTGCAACAACGTAAGTTGCTCGAGTATTGTATAGACTCATCGATTGTAACAATGGATTAAATGGACTATCCATGATAGATGCTTGTACAAGATTTGGATAGATTTGCAGAAAACGATCTAACCATAGAGTACCATATGAAAAACTCAAGATGGCAAGTCGATCCTTTGATTGATAAGCTTGAATTTGTATTGATAAATCATGAGCTGCTGAAGTAATCGAAAATTGATTTAATCCTTCGACAGTCCATCGATTCGTCAAATATGAAATACAATTCAATGTGACCGTTTGAGAAAACTGATCATCACAATTTAGCAGAGTTGATAAACCAGTACCGCGATGATCTGGAAAGATCAATGTAATACCGTATGTAACAGGAACTATTTCTGCTATAGTTTGAAAAATACTCCATCCAGATTCACCTGGACCACCCGTTATAACAAATAAAGTATTGTTACTAGGGATATTCGATGAACGAAGACGGGACATCGATATTGAAATCGAACTTTGATTCGGTTTAGCATAATTTAAAGGCACTTGTAACGTACAACAATCGATTGAATAGTTCTGATATTCTGTTGGAGCATTTCTGCAAACTGACCAAACACACGGATGTGTTAGAGCATAAGCTTGAATATCAAATGACGTTGCTTCTTGTACATTTACTAATATTAACATATATAATAAGAAAAATATCGAGATAATATGCATTTCTATTTGGTTACATTATCGACGGATGAATATCAAGCGTACCACGTAATTGCTTGCCTTTCATTTATGTACATTCATTAGAAATATGAAGTATTGCATACCTTTTCTGCCTTATATATATGGCATATTATGCGACGACTTTCTTTTTTCTTCATGTGCTTCAGTGATAGAACGAAAGAATATATGCGTAGATTCATAACTACGCAAGCTACCTACAACATATATTAGTAAGATGCATATATAATTTCATATTGATGATAAAAAACAGGTATTTTTTATATAATAATAACATCACTTATTGATGTTATTCTTTGCTGTCCTCAATTCTTCTATTTCAAAACAATATTTTAACCTCATGAGAGAGAATGAAGATGCTTATGATATTTACCTTCGTATTAAGCGTTTCAAAGGTATGACACAAATCAATATTCGAAAATTTTCTATTGATATAATTTATCTCATCCGAATATGACAACAACAAATACATAGTATTTTTCTTGTCTGCAAAAACAAAATTATCACTGTTGACTTCCTTCTTTCATTATTGCCCTTTTCTCTTCTATTGTTATCATGAATGCACCAAGAATAGCAACAGATATGTGCAAAGAAGTAGCTATATGTATCAAAAATAAAAATGATAAAGAGAATTTTATGCTTAAAAGAACAACCCCTATGGCTAAGATCCTCACAAAGTATCATCTGAAGCTGAAAAGATCGTAATGATACTAAATAAGTTTATACTGATGACAGCAGATTAATTTTTCCATATTAATTTAGAGGAATATGTAGCACCCAAAGGGACAACACAGTCGCACGTAGGATTCTCTTTCTACTAGTCTGATCTTTCTGCCTTTAAACAGATCTGAATTTATTTGTTTTTATGATAAGACTCTTCTCAATAAACACTGTTTTCGTTTTACACTACTTATTGGCAAGAAGACTGCTTGTTGGCTATTATTTAATATACATTATCGCAAATCAATGTTGCACTAATAAATGATCATCGAGATAATCAATTTTTATTCGATTAAATGACATTTTTCTGTTTGGTTAATGAGTGGCCTTCAATGTCAAAAAGATGAGATATTAAAGATAGTAGAAAAACACATAGAAAATGATTGCCTTCAAAAATTGACAAGTTTTTGCAGCTTTATCTGGTCATTTCTATTAACAAAGCCACAAACTCAAAAGTACAGTTGTCATTTTTTCTTTCTTATAATTTAATTCAATATGAAAGAAGTTTTCTATATCAACGAAACTACGATTTAATCAAAGAAAATCAGCTAATCGAATAATACAACTATGTAGAATCGTTTAGGCACTAAGATATTGTTACACACTTTTTTAAATAAATATCAATGATTGGTGCATATATTTGCAGACTATCGCTGTGTTTTCGTAAGCACACGACAGAACAATCATGCAGAAAATCTTATTATATTGTACATGAATTTATCATTAGAATTCATCATTAAAATCGTTTTACAGGCATGGATTGAACGTAGATAAATAATGTATCATTTCAGGATGTGAATGTGGGTATGGGTGTTTCTTCTCTCACACCTACACCCGCACCCTCATGCATGTAAATTTTGTGTGGAAATAGAAAACTCATGTTAAGAATTAGCCGCGAAAAGTAATAAATCTTGAGTCAGTTCCTAGATTTTACTATTTGGCAATGAAAGGGATAAGTTCGGTCTGCTTTTATTTTTCAATGCTATAAAAAGTATTGATATTTCATGATTGATAATAAAGTACCAAAATTATGTAACTGTTTAAAAAAGTAGACTTCGTGCCAGTTTTTTATCAATTAATTATTTGTATTCTGCGACTAACGTACTCTACACATTTTTCAGAGAATCTTGACGATGTGGTGTATTGATAATCAAGTCACAATTGGCTATTATTTTTACAGTACACTTGTTCGATGAGTCCTAAATCCATACCGAGCCCGGTCGGATGTGAGATCAGTTCGAGAGATTCTAATACTGAGTATGACCAAGTGACGAAGAAATCATACTGGAATGTATAAATGTCTCGAAATGTTGTTTGAAATCTAGTAAAATAGAAAAAAGTTGAACTACACATGAAATACGAAACAATTTTTGGAATAAAACTGTAAAAATTTCACAGATTCAAACTCTATAAATAATTGGTATTCATAATACCAACATTTTTCATATAATGTGAAAGATATTTTCTAGAGTTTTGAAAATTTTATAAAGTAACAAAAGTTTAAGATATTTCTTTTGCGAAACATGAACAAGTTTAGCATAGCCAGATAGATTAGATATTATAGTTTCATTATTAAAGACGTCATGTAATTTTCTTCGATGTAAATCAAAGGCAAGCAATTTTTAGCTGCTCTTCAAATATTAATACTCTACTACTAGTTATATCAAACAATGCGCCAATAAATCGCGATGCCTTTTCTTTTACTATCTTAACCCCAAAACAAAGAACTCGTCTATGATAAAAAGTATTGTTTCTAATAAGGAGACTTCACTTGAAGGTAAATCTTCTTTACAACGTTTCATTTTTTCATCTGATGGAATACATTTAACAAGCTCATATTTCTAATTTTCAGCAAGATATTTATGTGGTGATCAATGTCTTACATCACTCGTTTCTTTATCGCGTAATTTCTTATCAACATGTAATGATCGAACTAGTTCCAATGATAATGTTGGCGAGCTAATTCAAAATATTCATACTTGCCCAAATTTGTTATTAGTTGTTCATGTTTTGATATATCATGTTTATCAGCTAGTGCAGTTATTTCAATAAGTTTTTTCTCAATGAATTCTTTAAGATCTAATAAAACAATTTTATTTAGTTGACAAAGTTGAAGCAAATATTTTTCCTACATAAATAAATTAGATAGACTTTTATTCAACAACAATCTATAATAGAAAAAATAGTTTTCGTTTTATAATTAAACTTTATTTACAATAATGATTACAAACGAACATTGAATAGACACACATTAATCAAGGTTCTCAAGTTAAAATGTTTATTACATAAGTTCATGAAGTTGTTTTTATTTTTTAATTCGCACTTTGACTAGTAGTACCATTCCTTTTTGTCTGAATATTTTGGCTATTGGCTAATCTTTTTAAACTAAATTCTCTTACATTTTGTCTCTCGTGTCGAAACCATAAAAGTTTAACTAATTCTTGTCGATAAACACGAGATGACATTGTAAAAACGTAAAAACTTGTTGCATAACTAAAAAATAATGGTAAAGTAAAAATTTGATTGAGAAACCAAAATAAATCTGTACGTCGATCGATTAAAAAAGCCACTAAATTAAGAGTAGCAAATGGTAGAACACAAAGAAGTTGTGTTACAATTTGTGAAAATAGCATTCGAATTAAATGACGATCAAGACGATGAGAATTCTCGTTGCCAGTTGCTAATATCGGTTGAATTCGACGTGACTGTTGACGAACATTAATTAGAGTAAGTATGCAAAATATAGCCATGCAAAAAGATGGCAAAATACAATAAACTATCAGATAAAATATTCGATAAAATAAATCATAAGGACCTAATTGAGCATTACAGATAGTAGAAGAACCTATTCTAATTATTTCAAAGAATATTGCCATATGTAAATATAATATACAAGCCAAAATAATTGCTCCAATAATCAATCGCTTTGCTACTTTTTTATTACATAATGATCGACGTGAAGCTAATGTTGAACTTGAACAATATCGATCAAAACAAGCCAATATATAGAAATATGGTGATAGAGCTAAAAATAGATAACTGAAATAAAACCGTAATTTACACATAACATTCGATGTTATTGTGATATCAATAGAAAATCCATTGGCAAGTAGACGAGTTAATAATGCTGTATAAATAACAAGAATATTGTCAATTGAAGCTGCAATAAGATATAATGTACATGATGATTTTGATAGTGTTGGACGCGTAAAGATAAATAAATTGAGAGCATTACCAATTGTTCCCAAAACAATAAATAGTATTAATACAATTCGTAAAATTTGTAAAGCAATTTCCACTAGCATTATTTTTTATTTTATGTCAATAAAAAAATAAGCAATTGTTTCGCTATTTGTTTTCAAAATAAAATAAACCAAAACACAAGAACAATGTGATAGATTTTTAATTAATCAAAGGATAAGTGACGAAAACGATGTGGATGTGTGAAATAAAAGTGCATTCATTCTGCACAGAAAAAATTTTTCTAAATTGAAAATAACAAAAACAGTTAAAAACGATGACCTTGTTGATTCATTTCTATGGCACGAATAATGAAAACCTTGAGTTGTCAAGGTGTTACTAGACTTTTTTCAAAGTCAGAAAAAACAAATTTCATGTTTTACTATATTATCGATTCAAAGTAAGATCAAGAAGTGTATGAATAAGCAAAAAGTGTTTGTTTTTTTCGTCGCTTCAATAACTATTCTATTTTTAAAATATTAATGTATTTCAATGACTTTTTTCAAATGAAAGATAAAGACAAAAACAATATGTCTCGTGAAAAAAATCAACGATGAATAAAAAATCTTTATCTTTTTAAAAAAAGAAAATTGTCCAAGTAAACAAGAATTTCTGAATACGCATTTCAACGTTCTAATTGAAGTTTCCGTTTGAGCATTTTCAAAGAACACTTTTTGGATGTTTTGCAGATGTATAAGCTACTTTTCAAAACCTCTTCTATGATGAAAACAGCTGGTTTCGGTGTTTTCTCAAGTAATGTTTACAATCATCATTTTATATACGTTGGATAGATCATCACTTTTTGTATACAAAAAATATAGGTTTAACTATTTCAGGCTTGATGTTAATATAGACTGGCAAGCTAAACTAAATATCTCTTTGAGCAAAGCTTTTTATCTTTTGAAATGTGAAGGTGATGTTCGTAATCAGCGTGAAACTCCACATCGAGTGATATACTTATTGTTATGAACAGAAATAGAAAGTTTTCGACCAATTCCTGAGGTGGAGGTGACCGATCGAAAAAACCTGTTAGAAGGATTTCATAAATCTAGGTCATGTAAAATGTTCTTCATGGTTAATTTGCTACTCTCCGTTTGAGCATGAGAATGAATCTCGTAAGGAAACTGTTGTTATTTTTGTAGAAGTTACAACATAGTCTAACTCCTATTTTAATAAAATGAAAAGAAATATTGCCACTCACAATTTTTGTCTGATTGATGTTAATAAAAGATAATAATGTAATGTGTCGTGTTTGAATCGTTTTCTCTTACTTCTACTGTCTATTTATTTGAAAAAGAGTCGATTCACACTCTGTTAGAGAAAGCTTTTTTTTAATGAATTATTTTCTACTAATTTCATGGTCTTATACAAATTGTCACGTCAGTTGGAAATTCTGTTATCATACACTTCTATTAAATGAAAGTAGGCTAAGTTTTGTGTGCCTTTTAACTTTGGTTTTTCCATATTTAATTTCCTGTACGGATTAAGATCATACTAATAGATGAAAAGCAACAAGCCATAAAGTGAATATGGCAATATGTCGAAAGAAAACTACTTAATGGTTTTAATTAGAAAATATGTGGTTTTTAACCCTTTTACTCTTGCTTGGCTACCAGTCAACAGTTCTATAAAAGTCACTGATTAAACAATTTGATAAAAAAGAAGAACATTAACCTTAGTGCAGTATAGTTTTGGTTACATCAGTGACCATGTGATAAAAAAAAGGGATTAACCGAGATGGAAAAGTCACGATTTATTTTTTCTTTCATGACAGTTTTGAGTGGACAAAAGCAGCTTACATGACATAGTATCTTTAGTAATAGAAGGAGGAAGGAGTAAATATATATGAAAAATATATTTTGAAAAAGTACTTCTGTTACGTTACGACTTATTTTTTATAATTCTTCAAACTATTGTAGAACTTTCGAAACTTATATTATTCACTAATTAACCTCTTCGTCTATCTGTATCACATAAAAAGATTTAAAAAAATCTATAATAGCTGTAGGTCAAGAATATTCTTTTTTTCCAACATTAGCAATACGTCGAAGATGGAATGAAATATGATTTTTACCAATCGACAGCTCATCAAGTTTACTAAAAAAAACAAACCATGCTTTTCAAAATTTTGAAATTTTATGCATCGTTTAGTTGTTGTAATCTTTCGGTGGTCTCAGGAAAATTCTTATAATTGTCGAATGAAACTATTATTTATATATGATTTGATAGAGCTTGATCGACTGGTTACGAATGTACACTTTTTATTTCCTTTTGATAACTGTTTTGTTGAAGACAATTCAACATGCAAATAAGAGATATTTCATTCTAATTCAGTATTAGAGCTTCAATAAAAACCTATTATTAGTTAAGCATTTAGAATTTAACAAATATAGAGAGTGTTACATAAGTATCAACTCCATGTTTTTTAATCTTTGCCGTATTTAAAAGGTAAATAAGCATTGACGATAGATTTTGGAAAAGTAGTATCTAAACTATCCATCCAAGAGAAATTGCACTCAATTCGTATTAACCCTAAGAAAGTGCTGCATTAGTAAAAATTATTGAAAAAAAAACTATTAAGTTTATTCTTACCTGTAATATCAATATTTTCAAATATGGAAGACATTGTAAAGGAAATCTGTGTCGAAAATATCGAAGTACCATAAGTGAATTCATTTGATCGTTAATCGTTATATGTACAGATGAGTTGATTAGAAATATCATACTGTTTAAATAGGTCTATTTGATGTAGAATTTCTTTCTCTATCGATCAATGTCAAATAAATGATGAGATCATTTTCAACTTGAAATATAAAGTCTTTCCAAGTACTTTTGCTCTAATCACTATAGTTAAAAATCAATTTATATCTTTTTTGACTCATACTCAATATTTTTAGAGCAGAAGATACCTCACTGAACTTTAAACAAATGTCATATTTAAAGTTAACCCAAAAACCTGAGTCGACTTACGTACTTTTCAAATTGTTTCTATGATTTTTTGTTTTCTTTAATATCTATACACTTTGCCTTTGTCTTCGAATGACATTTCATATGTTAAGAACCATGTTTTCACTATCCAAATGGTTTTCAATTGAAATTCATTTTTTCCTCCGTCACCGAAAGGTACTCGATGTGGACAAAATTCGATCGAAAAAAAGTCACAGAAACAACTTGAAATATAGCTAAGTCGACTTAGTTTTTTCATTTTAATTTCAAACATATAAAAATAATTAGTATTTAATGTTGACTCTCAGGCTAAGAAAATTAAACTTTTTCGGTTGCGATGACATTCATTATGTCATCATGAGCTACTGTAGCACACTTCATGTTAATCTCCGATGCATGTAATTCTTTGTGACATACATTGATTAAATATATAGTATCTAAATTTTCGTCCTTCTAGTTCGAGCATGACTTTATGGTGGTGTTGTTTTATGAGAGAAGAAAATAACAATATGCCTTTTCTCATTTACATCATTAGATATAGAGTTAAAAATAGTACTTATTTAGTTCTTTCTTTTTTCAAATATCATTTTATTGCTAAGAAAACGTAACATTTTTTCATTTTGATAGTCGAGGATTCAGAAAAGGCCTTGTATATCGCTATTTTTATTATCAGAATTCATTTGTATAACAAAATGAATAATACATTCAAGATCAGCATGAAAAACTACACATTAAATCACATACGTTCTAGCGAAATCAGTTTCCTACCGGAACTGAACCTCTGGGGTCCATATATATAAAACTTCTTGAAAACAATTGTTAGAAGAGTACACTCGCATTGTCCTATGAGAAATTGATTTCTTTAGAATGTATATGACTTTACGTGTAGTGTTCTTCATGCTGATTCTGAATATACTATTCATTCTGTTATTGGGCTTGAATTTTGATAATAAAAATTGTTGTATAAAAGGCTTTTTTGTAATCCCTCGATTATCAAAATGAGAAAATGTTATGTTTTCGGAATAAAGATCAGGCATTTAGTCTTTTCTTTTGTCAAAAAGAACAAGATAGGCTTATAAACGTACTTCTTAACTCATGTTTTAAGGTCTCATTGACGGATACCATTAATTTTATATTATCAATTGTAAATCTGAACTAATATGCATTTTTAACGTTTTTCAACAAAAGAGTGACAAGGATATCATTCCGAAACAGGACAAAATATAATTATAGAGCATATTAAATACATAATCGAGATAATGCCATAATTTACATGAAATATTGAATGTAATTGTTATATCAATAGGAAATTTAATAACAATGTGTGAATAACAAGAATGTTATTAATTGAAGCAATAATTACAATATAAGACACATGTTGATTGTAAAAGTGTCGAATAGTTGAAATACAAATGTATTTCAAGCATTTTTGATCGTCCAAAAAATAATGAATAAGATCAAGATAACTTTTGTGAGAGGTCTACGAAAAATTAAATTTATTCAGTTTTACTTTTATGCTTTGCACTCCTTAGGTTTTTTAGTTCATTTCGTCCTTTTGAGTGCTTGATTCCTCAAAATATATTCAGACCATGACGGGCCAATTGAGTATAAAACTGTTTTCAATTGTCAACGAGTTGACAATGGATTCATCGAGCACAAAGCTTTGTAGGACTTTAAGTAGACAACATATAATTGAAATAACTACTGTCGAAATGATGCTCAAAATGTCTTCTATTGATTCGAATGTTCAATTATTGCTGTAACAGAATTCAAAGTATTTTCGGTTACATTTTCAATGCTGAGAAGTAATCTGTTGAATCTAAACACTTTGCAAGTGTGCTCGTGAGAATGCAAAATCCATGTGGATATTGTAGTATCTCTAGTCTGAAAGAAATTTAGCTTTTGTCAACAGCTAAAATAATTTGTTTTTATAGTTAATAGGCGCGCTCTAAAATTTCATCATTTCGAAAATGTTTGCATTTCGAATTACTATTCAACCAATACATTAGATTAATTTAGCAGTGTTATCGTGAAAAACTTTATTTGTGTTATCAACTACGTCCTCAATGGATAAATTCTTTTCTTCTAATGAAAATATATGCGATATATGTCATAGGAAGCGGCAAATATCATTTTATTCTTCATTTCGTCGGTTCAACTATTAAATTAACCTACTATACACATTGTTTTAATCGTTTAGTAAGCTTCTGAACACACCATTCTTTCTCTGAAGTAAGTTTGCTTAAGCTTATAATTTAATTAGTTCATACTTTTCTATGTTCGTCCTACTCAGATTCTACTAGATCACTAATACTATCACTCAACCTATTAACATCTACAATAAAAATCTTCGATTCATAGAATGCTTTGGAAGATTTTAAGAAAGTTCCAGAATGATCTAAGCATTATTATTACTGATGAGCCTTCTCTAATTTTGCATCTATTCCTATGATTTTGTGCCTAATAATATATGTACTAGCGAAAAACACTATATCATTTTCTGGCAATATCAATGTGCTCAAGACATCTTGCTCGACTTGCATGTCCTTCCTCGTGAAGATTCATTACCTTTTTTTTTTGAATTTACTAATACTTCGTCTATTCTGTTTCTCACGATAAAAAAGAATTAACTTCTGTATCAATATTCTAACAGAAAAAATTGAAGTATTCGTTACTTAATAGATTTTGCATAAACTTTTACAACACATGAATTATGAAAATATGACATTAGATTCAAGTCTTACAAGTTCATACAATTTATCACTTCCAATGAAAAAATGTTGGTCCTGGTTTCGAAACTATCTTGTGCATATTTACACAGAAGCGAATTTTTATTGCGATAATTCTTTCATTTAATCTAACTATTGATTGAATATAAGTGTGCACATAACAATAGAATGTCGATTGTCTATTTGTTTGTCTTACTTAAGACACATCTCTATTCGCTAACGTCACATTTCGACAACACACTGAGTCACTTGTTAAAGTAAAGATTTATTCTATTGTCATCTATCTTCATTCAATGTCTCTTTATCTCATATAATCTATTGCGACACAACAGTGACGAATCACACACTCATGACATAGGGTCTTATCTAAATATAATATTTAACAAAAAGAAAAACAATAATAAAGCTTTTTCTCATATTTATTCAGGTTTTATTTGAATTTCTAAATTCAGGATAGGTTATTCAAAACAGATCCTAGTTGAGGAAAAAACAATAATAAAAGCATTTTCATCTGTTTTTTTTTCTTATACTATTATTTACCATTCATTTTAGAGTTAATACCATGGCAATGGATCTAACGTGTCTTAGTATTTATCCTCCATTACCAACAGTACCAATAATTGCGAATAATTCCAATACAATTGTTCATCCAACTTATAAACCGAATAGTGGTAGTATTTCTCAAATGATATCTGCTTCAATGGCACGTTCAACATTTTCTATAAATGATGTTCGATCTTTATTAAAAAAATTGCTTAAAAAAGAATTTAATTCATGGAATTTTTCTGAAATAACTGAATTAAAACCAATACCTTCGGTTATTATTTATACTAGTATAGCTCTTGCTTTATTTATAATATTTTCACTTATGTTTTGTATTATTTCATGTTGTCATTTTAAAAAGAATCAAGTAAGAGATTAATTTATTTAAAATAGGATTATAAAATTTGTTTTTGTACTTAAAGAACAAAAAAACACAACAATCGAAAGTTTCACGTATTTCTCGATATTTATTAATAATTATTTATTTACTTGGCATAGCTGATATGATTTATGTTGCTTATCGAGTAAATCAAACAAAGGATTCTATTGATAATGCAATCAAAGAAGTTAATCGAGATATTTATCCAAAAGAAATATCTGAACATATTGAATATTTAAATAGACAACTTGAAAATCTTGATCAATATTTTATACAAAGTAAATTTATTTATTTATGAATTTTAATTTATTTTTCTTTCCTTTTTTTTTATTTTTCTTCTGAAAAGCAAATTCAATTTTAATTAATGCATCAAAATCAATGTTAGTCAAGGCATTTGATGGAATATTAAAAGAAAAATATTTTCTTCAAAATATTGTTCAATCAGTAAATAATGTTGATAATAATATTCAAAATTTGCAAAACATAATAAATAAAGAATCAACATTATCTCCATTAGCTGTACAAACATTTAAAGATATTCAAGAACAATATCAAGATATGATCAATTATTTACAGATACCATTAGAAGAAGTTTGTAATTATGCTAATGGAACACAAACGGATATTGATATGAAATTATTAAATGTATTAAATCTTGTTCATGACAAGTTGATTAAAGCAATTAATTCAATTAATGATGATGTTCTAAAGAAAATAACACCTTGGCAAAATCATATGTTAATAAATAAAGATTTAGAAGAACAAATTCGACACTATATTAATCTTGTTGGAATTATTTCTCTTGTATTAGTGATAATTCTTGGTATAATTCCTGTGGGTTTCTTGATTTTCATAATAATATATCGTTTATGTAATCGAAATGATAATGAATCAACTAAAAACAATCAGTTAGTAATTTCTATTTATTTGTTCGTTATATCAAATGATTCTTTTTCTTAATAGTAATCGAATACAAATGGATGATATAACGAGCTATTCTAACAACAAGAACTATTATCAGCCTAATACAGTTAATAAACAGGCACCGTAAGTACTTGAATAAAACTTCTTATTTTGGTTCTTTACTTTGTGTTTTGTGAAACACAACCTAAAAGAAGTGCTAAAGTATATAGGGTTTTGCCATATGTTAGCTGCTTCCTTAGTGCATTTCTAAAGGATTAAGTAAAAAGATGATGAAGAAATGTGTTCTAAAATAGATAGAATAAAACAATTTTTCTCTAAATAGTAATAGCAGCTACATTGTATTTCACATTTTAATACAGTAAGGATTGTGCCAACGACTCTTTTTTTTTTGCAGTATGAACAATCATCGATATCGAAACACAACGGAAAGAATAAGTTCAAATAATGGTCCATCTGGTGTATTACTTTGTGTAATGCGTATTGCGTTTATTCTGATAATTATTATACTTATTGCTATGGTTCTGGTAACTGGTGTTTATTATGCTGTTGATCTTGTTGTTCAAGGTGCTTGTCGAACAGTTCATGATGATCAACCTTTTCTAATTGATTTGGTTATTGGTAAATATATATTTATTTATTTATTTTTGTAGAATTTGAATTTTTGTCTCTTTACTTTGTGTTTTGAATTGTGTAGATAAAGTAATCGAATTGAATGTTATGCCCTATTATAATTCTGAAATCAATAGAACAGTAAATGATGTGATTAGTGATTGTCGTAATCATATACATTTTAGTAAAAATATTTTTGAAAATTATTGGTCTGTGTTAGATGATGATGTTAAAAACATGATGAATACATTAAGTGATCACATCTTTAATCAATTTATTAAATCTATTGGACAAATTAATATTCCTTCCGATATTAATTTACTCGTACAATTAGTTGCTCAAGCAAATAGATCAGATGTTTCCGTTTTAGCTCAAGAAATCGATAATAATTTTATGACAATGAACAAATTATTTGCGAATATCAGCAATTCAAATTCAACATTGTCACCAAATCTTGTGCAATCGACTATTGGCGAGGTTTGTTTATAATTCTTAACATATCAATTAGATTTAAAAATTTTCTTTTGTTTTAGTTCAAAAATTATGTAAAGAATGTACTAGAATCAACTCTTGATAGTTGTCCTTTACCGTTATCTATAATTTACAAAACGGATACATTGGTATGTCATAAATTTGGTAGTTCATTGAGCGGTCTATGGCTTGGAATTTTCTTCTTCATGTTTATCGTTACGGTTGGCATTTGTATTTTTGGTATTTGCGTCTATAAACGATTGAATTAATCATTTAAATCTATACCTGTCGACAATAACAATTCTTTCAATTTCTAAGATACATGATTAATTTTATATTTTGATTTTAAAAATAAATGTATTTCTACACAAGACTCACATTTTGTGAAAATATATTTAAGAATGGTGTGGGTGTGGGTATGAATGTTTCTCTTGTCATCAGTCATACCCACTCCACATCCTTCTCTTTCTCAAGTTTCTGGTCTTGGTTTCGACAAATAATAGTGCAATTCAAAACACTACAGTAGTTCTAATGATGAATGAAAATTTCGACAAAAAAGTTAAGCACGATGATTAACGAATATTTTTCATAGTATATACAATGTTGTATAAGTTGATAATTATGGTTGAATGTAAATAAAAATTTAGCTGTGTTTTATCTATCGTTTTCTTAGTATTTAAATTTAAATCTTAGAGTTTAATTTGTTTTTATCTAAGAAATAAAAAAAAAAATAAGAAAAGTTCATCTTTTGCGCTTCAGATTCGAACAATTATTACACTCAACATGAATGGTTTTAAGTATTCCTAACTTTAAAGCAACTACTTAAATATAGAACTATGAATGCTCACTGGTGAAAAACTGATCTATGTCATACATGTTTTTATTGATCATAAAATGACTATCTTTACAAATATCTTGAAACTTTCTAAAAAATAAATTGAAAAAAATTCGACAAGAAAGCTTAAGAATTAATTCTTGTAAAATTTTGGGTTTTTTTTCTACATGCGAGACACGATCGAAGTGCATATCCACAAGGCATTCATGCTATTTTTTCTTCTTTAGTAATACACTTGAAACATTCACCTAATGATTCTTTCAGTGATTCAGATGGAATAACAATATTTTCTGAAGAATCTTGAATAATATCAATTTGCTTTTTGAACAATGAGACAAGCTATGGATAAATGAATATCGGATTTAAAATCATCATTTTTAATTTCTAATTGATCCTCAAAACAACGTTTAATACCTGCCAATGAATATTGTGAACAAAGACGTTCAACAGCAGATAAATCTAATCTTGCTAGAACTAAACGATTAAGTTGATCTTTATCAATATGATTTCATTTTAAAATTCTTTGTTGTTTTTGCTATTTGAACTTCTCCATATAATTGATCTCAGGGGCGCCGGAACGTTTTGAATTTGGGTGAGATTCAGTCAAGGATATGGTCAAGGATAGGGAGCGTGCAGGAGATGCTCAACAATTTCATCACTTACAAAATAAATTCAGCTTTTTACGACCAAAATTGTATTTTTTTAATAAAAGAATATCGTAGAATAGAAAAGTAATTTTTTCACTACTTCACTTTTAAAAGTTTGCATCCGTACCTTTGCCGTTTTCAAAAACTTTTCTAGCACTGCTCTACTTTTTTCTCTTCATCACATTCATGTGCTCAGTGGAAGTTTATCTATTATGATAAAATAACTTCTCAAGTAGCAGTATGAGCTAAGTTGACGAATTGGAGGTGAAAAATCATTTCAGAATATTTAGCAGTGTTATTGTCACAAAAAAAGATTCATTCTACTATTGTGGAAAATAAAAATATCGAAAAAGAAAATTAGAGAGATGCCGAAAAATACAAATGTTGAAAATGATAGTGTATGAAAGTAAGAATTCCGTCACCCTCATCCTCACTGTTAACCACATATTTCTATCTCTCATGTTTGTTTTCGATATTTTTATTTTCGACATTTTTACTTTTCGACCAAAGTAGGGTGAACCGAAAAAAATACTATGCTATATCATTTTATTCTTTGCTGACCGAGCTTCTAAAACTTTAGAAAAAGATAAAAATTTCCAACAAAATACACAAACCACGTATTTTACATTATAAATCAATTCAAAAAGGACTTTTCCTAAGGACATGGTTGTGAACGTTAGTGTACTCTGAAGAAAGGAAAGGTATCGTATTGAGCAAAAAATTAATTTCGCGCGCGCTATGTTATAGAGTTTTAAAAAGTTTTGTGCATAGTAGGGAACTTGAAAAGGATTTTGAAATTTACAAAGAAATCGAAACGCTTTTAAGTTTTGGTGGGAAAACCACGAAATCTAAAAAAAGGGTTTCAAATTCGTGGCAAAAATGGTTCCGTATAGAACCATATTGTTTTTAGAGTGGGAATTATGAAGTAGTGTAGATTGATTTTCAAATTCTACATCATTTTTCAGCAAACTATTAACTTTTGACGAACTGAATGTATCAGAATCAATAGCAACTTTAGTTAAAGATACGATGTTCGTATTTTGATCTCAAAAACTTGTTGAAAAATCAGTAAGCTCGATACAACAGTTTCTTCTCTTGAAAGAGTGACTGTTTGACCTTTGACCTTTTTCGTAAAATAGTCAAGATTTGAACCAATAGATAGTTTTGGTGAAATTTATTGATTAAAGTCGAAAATTTAGAACTGTTAAAATCTTCCTCGGTCAAAAAAGTTAATCTTTTTGATTCATTTTTTCATCACCTAATACGCTGTATTAAAAAAAACAAAATACACGACAAGATGCAGCATGAAAAGCACTACAAGCTACAAAGGACAGCTTATTTTATAATTGCGCTTTTTGCTTTCAAAATGGACAAAATTTTGAACCACTAGTTTTTGACACTTCGAAAAAAATAGTTCTTTAGTACACGATGAATTCCTTTTCTTATGTCATTAATTAATGAAACATTGTTTTTAATTCAATTCCTTTGTTCAGTCATCGATTATGACTTTCGATAGAACTCATTAACCAAAATAATAAGAAAAGAAATTGATTGTGTAACAAACAAGGATTTTGTTCGCAGCGTGAAAAATTAGTCGCACAGAGTTTTGTCCATTTTGAGAAAAAAAGTGCAACTATGGAATAAGCTGTTCTTTGTAAATTTTAGAGCTTTTCACGCTGCATCTTGTGGTGTATTTTGTTTTTTTTAATACAGCGTATTAGGCGATGAAAAAATGAGTCGAAAAGATTAACTTTTTTGTGGCCGAGGGAGAATGCTGCAAAAAAAGTATTCTTTATCCAATTAGTATTTATATAAATGCTAAATTACATTATGATTAGCGAGGATAACATAATAAAATTCTATCACAGCGTTAGGATTATTATTTCGAATGCATCGAAAAAAAATAGAGAGCTAGACTTTCAAATGCATGTAAAAATAAACTTCTTGCTGACTATGACTCTTTTGTTAATATTTTTTCCTGAATTTTAAATAATTCTTATGAGTGTATTTCATCCAATAAAATAAAAAAATAACTACATCAAAAAAAAGAGAAGATGGTCCCTCATATATAGCTTGTTTTGGTATTTATTGATCGTATGATTCTAGGCTTCATTTAGTTTACACGGTACTTCATGTGAATAAGATTTAATTAAAAAGTATTTTAATGAACCATGACAACATAGTTAGTGAGTTTACTATTACTTGAGTTTTTTGTTCTCTTTATCCGAGCATATAAACAAGCGTAATAGAGGTGCCAATCTTCATATTAAGAGGAGATTTTCCCAGTAAAATAAAGCTAAGCTGGCGCGTGACCAAGCCTCAACTTCATAATTTGACTGAGGCTGAGCCTACAGGGGCCAAATTCGGGTGAAGCTCATGTCTCACCCAGCCTCCAGCTTCCGCCGTCTATGATTGATCTCCACATAAATGTTCAGCATAAATACAATGAGAAAACCATCGAACATGTTCAATCAAAGGATTATCATATGAATCTCATTTATGTGGTGATAGTGAACCATTACAATAAAAACATGCCACTGCATTATCAATACCAGCATAAAAGAATCCTGCACGAACTAAATTTTTAATGGTCGGTAAATTTTCTTTCCAAGTAATATTAGAAAATGTGGCTTCTCGATGAGATGATTCAAACTTTTCATCAAGTTTATCATTAATTATTTTTGGTGAACATTGTACTGAAGGCATTGAAAGAACAAATGGACATTGTTGAGCAAGTCTTCTATGAACTTCAGTTGGATCATCGTTCATTGTCCATTCATGACAAATTCTATTATAATCAACCAGCAGATGCCATTGATTCATAATTTGGTGTAAAAACTTGCCGTATTGATTCTGATTCATTTAAAGAATATTTCTTTTTTGAATTATAAATTCTTGTTTTGGAATATCTGCTTTACTTTTAGGGAAACAGCTAATGTATAGATCAGATTGTTTGGTGAAATCTTTTATTTGAATAATGTCATTTATGACCATATTTATACAATTTCTTTAGATCATAATGCATTGATGACGAATTTCGGTATACAGTGGGTCGAAAGATTATTCGTCCACCTATGTATGGTTGACTTACTTTCTTCGCTATATCTGATCCCAGTCGATTAAAGAATTCTGCTATATATCATTATGTAGTACATTATACCTAGTTTATATTCCATAACTTTCAACAATGTCTTCCTTCTTTCTCTCTATTTTTCTAAACAAGATGATCCAGTTATGCTAAATTTTCATAACGAAAAATTAGTCGTCCAGTTTCGAAAATTTATGCACTTTTAATCAATAATTATCGATGGCGAAATATTTTGATTTCATTGATGACTCTAGGTTTTAACGAGTATATTCCAGTTCAAACAACCTGATACGGTCAATTATAATAGGGACTTTGTCAAATGGATCACCTTGAAGCTTGCAAACTCTCATACATCAAAGACAGCTTCTTGTTTTGTTTTGAATTAAGCTACATAGAGACCAGAATATAAAAGAAATCACTTCTAAAGATAAATGCATTGATTTTGAATAGAATTGGATCGGTTTTGGATTAGTCAAAATGTCGAAAAACTAGCAAATGACCTTTGGGTTTCATTGGGTGCGGGTGCGGGATAAGTAAAGAATTTCACATCGCCCATACCCACACGTGATCCACACCCTTCATATGTGATAAAATTCATTTTTTGAACATTGAAAATTATTTTATTTAAATAAGTTGATATTTGAGAATAATGTTCATATCACTTTTCGTTGTTTTATAGCCGATTTAATTGTTCTTATAAATATGAGAGATAAAAATAAAATGAAAAGCTTTTTGAATACTACTTTCGATCTAGCATGAAATACAGTGCACCTCAATAATATTTCCCACTATGCATTTATAACTTTAAACAACTATAGTTCGCTCTTTTTTAAATAATGAGTATACCGCGAGAAAGTACAGACTTCGCTGTATCATATGGTCGATTGATCATAAGTAACGAATGCAAATCAGACGGCAAAACAATACGTCAGAAGAAAAGATGATGTGTTTTTTCGACAGTATATATTTCATCTTGATTACGGAAAAGAAAATACTTATTAATGTAGACGGCCGATTATAATATAAAGCCCCCGACACATTAGAAGACCCGGGGTCTTCTATTCTGTCTTATCGCTCATAAGTTACAAGGGGGGTCTTCTATTATGTTCTCTAAAAAGTTATATTTTTCAGCAGTCTTTCCAACAAATCTTTGTTTTAATTCATTTTTATTCAATATAATCGCTAGAAAAAGATAGTTTTACTTATTCGACACGTGTATAATGAGAAAGCAACAAATGCTATCCTGTGAAAAAAGTGAGTCTACCATTGGTAATAAATATTCTTAAAGTATTCAAGGCAACGTATCCGAACACCTTGATAAAATGTCCACTAGCTTTGCTTTTTCTAAAAAATAAGATCTGCCATTGACCAAATTTTAACTTTTCCATAACTAAATAACTCAGANCCCCCCCCCACCCCTACCCCCCCCCCCGCCCCGCGCCCCCCCCCACACCCACCCCCACCCCCACACCCACACCCCACACCCACACCCACACCCACACCCCACACCCACCCACACCCACACCCACACCCTCGATTTCTACACTATGGAAATCTTTAGTGACTGGTAAAATGTCTAAAAAAGATGAAAGAATTTTGACTCGTTTATTATTCGTTACCCGTTACATTTCTGTATATCTTTTGCAATATTATAATATTTTAAAATAAAAATGAACTGTTGTTTATATATCCATATTCTCGAGACAAAACTCTTTTTTATTTGATTTATAAAATAGGTAACGTTATACACTCAATGACCTACAACCATTGGAAAGACTAACAATAATAATGAATTTTGCTTGTTTTAATTATTAGTAATCATTCATATTGAAGGTATTTCCATCTGTAGTTTAATCACTGTTCCTCGTCGAATTTCTCCCCAACCAATCAAATGAAACTTGTTATAAACACGACGACTTAAAACAATATTTTCAGATACTTCAGTACAAACTGGAGTTGTTAATTGAATTTTAGCCAAATTATTTTTTATAGCTATTACTCGACCACCGGTACATAATGAGCCAATATTAACCAATAATATTTCATTTTTAATTAATTTAGCAACCTTAAAAAAACAAATCAAATTCTAATTTTCAATAAGACTTCAAATCAACGAACCTTAGCACCTTTTTTATCACCATCAGTTCGTACACCAACCAAACGTCGAAGAAGGAAATAAATTATTTGAATTTCAGTATATATCTCCGGTAATGTACCGACTTCACCAAGTACTTGTCCAACAAGACGATCAGCCCGACATAAAGTCGGATCAATTTTCGTTCCAACACCAATCAACCCACCAGGTACAGCAAAAGCCAACTCGTTCTGTTCAGCATAGAGTGAAACAACTTTTGAAAGAAGCGGACAACATTGAAGACGACCTTCATTATCTTTTGATATAATACCAGGACGTACTTCAATTTCTTGACCAACCTATTATCAGTTCTTTTTATCAACTGAGACTCGAGAAAAAAACTTCTTACTTTAAGAACGCCTTTAAGAATACTACCACCGGCTACACCACCTTTCAGATCGTCAACTGCGGTACCGGGTTTATTAATATCAAATGATCGAATAACTACAAGACATAAAATGTTATTTCAGGTTCCTCCTCTCTTCGAAAACGTTGAGTTTCATTAAGAGAACGTAATTGAAGACAAATGCATAATCAAATATTTTGAAGTGTGTACATTGCGTGGCAATATGACTTTGAAATCTCTTGCTCTACAGTTAATACTATTCAGATCAAATATTCTATGTAAATGAGTTTGTTTCTAACAAAAATGGAAAATAAAAATTGCGGTGGCTCACTAAATTTTATTAGCACTGTTAACTAATGCATCATATGTCTGTAGTTCTATCAGTTTGTATTTTATTGCTATAAAAAATTTTTGTCATGTTTTTCTGAAAGCCTAAGTTCTACAACGCATCTTTGAGGGCATTCTGTTACCATACGATATAAAGTCAAAAACTTTTGTGAAAGCTTATGCTTAGGACTTCATGTATATCGTAAGCCTTTTCAATCGTTGTGTCTGGATGCTGTAGAAGATCGGGAAGATCCAATGTACCATGATTATAATTCCAACAGATAAACACATATGAGATCGTAAATTTTTTCTCTAAGTAACAACGCACCAGTGCTTGTGTCAGCAAATGTATTGAACAGAGGTAAAATGTGCAGAATATCTGTTCTGATGAGCACTTTGTTTTGAATATTGTTCGGATTATTTGTAAGAGAAAAAATGGTAAATGAAACTTATTCTTATTTTATCGAATATTCTGTTACTTTCATCTGCTTTCTTGATCATCTTATATCAGACAGAAAAATATATGTCACAATTATTGTTATTCAAAGGGAATGGCGCTACACTGTCTCTTCTGCTTCCGAAATTCGTTCACGGATAAGAATACTCAGGCACGCTCCTCGTATTTTACTATTATCAATATATAATTTTTACCTATTCAAGAAACCAGCATCTACTCTAATACGATAAACTGCATTTTTGTACATTTTGATCCATTATTTTTATGAAGAGAAAGTGTATACGTACACATTATGTACACAAAATTTCAGCTTAACAGCCTGTGGATCATTTTTTAAGGACTTAATATAAAAACCCTTTTTTTCTTACCAACCAATCTCGGTTTTGATGTAAAATCACGTAGTGGTACAGGGATTTTTCTTGTAATATATTCGAAAATAACTTCAATATTGTATTTAAGTATTGCACTTATCTGTATGATTGGGGCATCTTCAGCATTTGTGCCTAGAAAATTTCTTTATATTCAAAAGAGACAAATATAAATAAAAAAAGTTTTCAACCTTTAACAAAATCAATAATTTGTTGATAGTGTTCTTTTGCTTGAACTTCTTTAACAAGATCAATTTTATTTTGTAAGACCAATATTGAATTTAATTTCATTATATCAATAACTGCTAAATGTTCAGATGTTTGTGGTTGCGGACAAGTTTCATTAGCAGCTATAGAAAAGCTTTTTGTTTTATATATAATCAAAATAAATGAAGATTTTTTTTACCGATAATTAAAAGAGCAGCATCCATAACAGCGGTACCATTTAACATAGTTGCCATAAGAATATCTTGACCAGGACAATCAACAAATGAAACATGTCGAACAAGACGAAATTGGCCGCCACATCCTGATCGATCACATGGAAATACATCTTCTTTGCTTGAACCAGCTGAACGAAAACGTTTGGGTGGAGGACATTTATTATTGTCACATTCAAATATCTATTTAATGATTATGTAAATAAAATATATTGTTTAAAAAAGCAAAATACTTTAGCGTTGGCATATCCTAATTTAATTGTCATATTTCGGTCTTTTTCACTTTTAAATCGAGCTGTTGAAACACCAGATAAAGATTTAACAACTGTTGATTTTCCATGTGCGACATGACCAATTGTACCAATAGTAATGGTTGCTTGTCGACTAATTACTTCAGGTGTTAATGGTGATAATTGATTAGGATTCTAGAGAAGAAAATGGAAGAGTTTTCCAGCTATTTTATATCTATTCTATCAACCATTTCAGCTATAGATTGTTTGGCCAAATGTGGTTGGCCAGATGTCTCGTATGCAGTCATGACTATTTACGTTTCTTTTCAATTGTTGCTTACATCAATGATTTAATAAATAAAACATAATTACGCAATTTTTATAGTTGTCGATTGGATAGACTGAAATCCTTCATCAGCAAACTTGTTTGACG